AAAGTAATGGTACAACAGTACCTGTAGAGCTGTAGAGTGTGCTAGGAAAAGTTGATATAAATATAGTATATATTGTTTTATATTTACTGAATAAGATGAAAATTGCCAAAGAGAACTCCTAATTAAGCATTTGCACTCCTATGTACAGTTCAGTACATCAATGCAGCACAACCAGATAAATTTTTTGGGGTTTTTTATTCCACACAATTGCAACTGGCTGAAAGTCTAGTCTTTCCCGTCTTTTTGTTTAATCCCATCATAAAGGCATTTGGAGGATGAGCTCTTCGCTGTTATGTCTGAGCCAAAACGGCCTGTACTGGAATCATCCCTCAGCGTACAGGCACCCAACACCCCTGCAGCAACATCCCTGACTCCAATGGGGTCAGCAGCTGATCTTTTTGTAGGACGGTCGGAAGCAGACAGGGTCTCACACGCTGTCCAGGAGGAGCCGCAGAGCAGGAAGAGGAAGGAGATGGAAGCAGAGATACAGATTGATGAACTGGAGTCTATTATGTCTGAGGATATGGACTGCTTTGATGAGCAGAGCATAACGCACAGTTTCGCAGAACAGAAACAAAGTTTAAATACTGCAGAGTCTTCAAGCAAGAGGCAACGGGTCCACCTAGAAGAAAAAGGAAGCAACAAAAGGACACAGTTGGGCCTGGAAAGGGAGTCGGGCACCCATAAGGGCCACAGCCAAAAATCTGAACATCATATTGTCTCTGTCAAGACGGAGCAGGTCCATCCTTTCGAGTACAGGACAGCTTATCATGAGTCCAGCAAACCTCCAGAAGCGTCATCTGCCAGTACAAGCAAAAACATTGATGCTTTTGAAGACGACGAGGCGTCTTTCATTGAGGTGAGGATTTTACTGTCAGTTTGTCAGTGGTCTTCTGTACATTCATTAATTTAGAGAAAAGAAACAACTGTCTCAGCACACACGATGGAGTCACTTCTGAGTTTTACATCCATGTACTGCACACTTCACCCTTTTTATCCCTGTAGGATTTAGAACTAGTCAGACTAGATGTGTCCCATCCCAAAGAAGAGACCAAGACCCCTCTGAAACCGGTCACTATCAAACAGGAGGTCCAAGTAAGTCCTGTGAAAAAGCTCTTACTGTTACAGCTTTGTTTGTGTGTTTCTCCTTTTAAATAAGCCCCATTTTCCTGCTAATTATATAGATTTGTCCCCCACACGCAAAATTTGCCTATCAGTTTTCAATGATGGTTGGAGCGGGCCACGGGACCCAGCTGTGGTAGTTTAACATGAACAGATATAAAGTAGATATAAGGCCGGGGAAAGCCGCTGAGTATCTGCTCTTTGCTTGTGTAAGTGTAGGATTTAAAAGCAGCTTAGAGGTTCTTTAGGTTCAGGCTACTAGAGAATGGTGTCATCTGTCATGTGGCCCAGTGGATTTATGATTGCACAGCCTGACACCAACAACAGAGCATAAAGATAGGTTAAAATTATAATGTAATTTAGCATGTATGCCGGTCTTCCCTAATATACATCTTAATGTGGTATTGATCACTGACAGCCCGGCCAATAAATTAATCAGCCAATGTTAGCTTATCACAGATATTTTGTATCAGCGTGTATAAGCTGATAAGTAACAAGAAATTGCAGTACAGATGTGTCAGATGTGTTTGAGGTAATTTAGAAACAGTCTCCGCATCACAGAGCGGACAGTTTTATTTTTCAACCGTAAATTGTCCCACTCAGTACATATCTTGGTGACAATTCTTTGATAACCAAATTCAAGAGACCCGTATTAAACACATGTATTTATGTTAAAAAAACATAAATACATGTACAACTATAAACATCAGCTGAGGTATTGTTGTAGGATTCTTATACTCAAATATTCATATTGGTATTGGCCAGAACCCAGTACCGGTCAGCTGTTGTTTAAAGTGGATCAGAAATGTTCCATCAGCATTGGAAACCACTTAGGATTCATGGGCAATCCTGTACACCATGTTATTGTTGTTTTTGTGTTTACTTTGATATTCTAAAACATTAATCTATGCTACAAAGAATATTAATTAATATCAACTGTCCATCAGACTAAAGTTGACTCCTTCATGTTTTGCAGGAGTCAAAGACTGACGAAAACCTTCCTAAAAAGCTGGTGCTAGTGGAGTTTAGATCTCTAACTGTGACCGCACCTCCCAAAACAAAACCACAGAGGATGCAGGACGTCAGCAACGCAAAGAACTTCAAATGTTTCCGCAAGGTCAGACTACAATGCAACTTAGACAACAGAAACTCACAGTAGAGCCGTGAAACAGATGTAGTGTGTAAATAGTTTATCCTCAACTAATAATAAACAAAGTAGACAGCTCCCCTTTTGAGTGACACCAATTAACATTTCCATCAGTTTTAAAAAGTAAAAGTTATGACCTTATCCATGAGTAGGGTTAGCCTTTTTCTTACCTTCCTGACATTTCCCCGCGGCATATATGGTAGATGACGGTATTTGTGTTAAAAAAATTTTTAAAAAAGAAGTAAAAGCTGAGATGCTTGTGATAGAAGTCACTGTACGTATGACATCATTTAGCTCAATGCTGCGTGTCTAATATGTCGTTATCCTACTTAGACTAGTCTTGCTGGTTTAAATACTTATGGCCTGTAGAATAATGAATAGATAGGAAATAAGCGCTTTCTTCCATATATTGTTGTCCTTTAAATTTTCCTTTAAATTTCCTTGGTGTGTATGTGACAGACCTGCGTGCCAGGAGCAGGCGGCTCACCACGCATCATTGGAGGGTCTGATCTGCTGGTTCACAACAGGGGCAAGAACACTGATCTGGACGAATGGCTGAAAGATGCAGCAGAGGTACTACTGACAGTCTTGTCCCTCTTATCCATCTGTGATCTGTCTGAGCTCTGCATTCATGATTTGAGCCTGTGTTTGTTACAGGAGGAGCTTCAGAGCAGGCGGGACGAGAGTGCCGGAGATGACCTCTTTAGGTAAGAAACTGGGGCTCATTTTCTGTAAGCTGTGTGTGACATTTACAAGTAAAACATCTGCTCATTCTTTCATGTCTCATATTGATTTTATTGATCATTAATAATGAGTTGAGATCTTACTTGTGCTTAAGGCACTGTCTGGTTTGTTACCTGTGTCCTGGAAAAAGAGAGAACGCTGAGTGTGACTTGCTTATATACCGTAGTATACGTTATTCATCCCAACTCATCAGTAGTGGTCTTCATGTGTCCGAAATGTTGGACCCGATCTGAAACGGACTTGTGGAAAACCTCCTCAAACCCGTAATTTAACCCGATCATAAATGTGGTCGACCTGAAAAGACCCTAATAGAGCTTAACAGAGAAAACACCAACACGGCAGCAGCATGATGTGCTATCAATTACAAGCAGCTGCATTCCAAAAGCAGCAATATATTGGTAATGTTCAAAGAAAGGATGTCACAGAAAATTATTCAAAACAAATTATTTATATATTTCAAAACGTAATTTATAGAAATAATTGAAAGTCCTTTTTTTAAATATATCTCAATCAAATTCCCAAAAGTAATTATCATTAACAAATTGTTTACTTAGGTAATAACTGTGTTATTCATTATATATTCTCTCTAAAGTAATACAAAACAAAAAATATTGTGGATTAAACTGAGAAACTATCTACAGTTAATGTTATCCTGTTACTTTAGTATAATGTATTAGATATTATTTTGTTATTTTATTGTTTGGCCAGACAGTGATAAATGTGTCTGTGTTGGTAGCATCCTTTCTGAGGATAGACAGCTACTATACTTTCCCTCTGTTAACTGTTGTTGAATGTGTTCTTATTCAAGTGGTTTCTTTTCTCTTGGACATTATGGTAATTAAAACCCTTAACCCTTGTGCCTCTTATACTAGACTTGGTTGGTATATATGCTAGTCAAGGTGGTGAAAACAGTGTAAAATAAAGATTCTGGCTGTACAGATTATTATCAGGGGCAGACAACATAATAACTGAGAATTATGAATATGGGGCAACTGTAGCTTCGGGTTAACCAATCACAACATAATAATTATTTTGTCAGAGTAGTTGCCAGGGTAACAGAGGTGATGTAAGCTGGCGTTGCTGCTGCTGCTGCCGCCACCGTGTTTTCTTGGACTAAGCAGAAAAGAGACAGTCTGAGATTGATTTTGTGTGTGTGCCATGGATGAGCTGTTTGATCACTGAGTCATGCTCAGTCAGTCATGCGTAGCCGGGGAACAGACTCTGCTGCTAAGAAAACAATCCGGTATTTTTTTGGTAGGTCTAAACGAAGTTTCCAGACATGGTTTATAGGAAGCCTGTTTGCTTTAAGCTGAACAAACACTGTCCGTGTTTTACAGTGCTTAATTTGGGATGTTTTTATTGTTTGTTCAAAATGCCTCTAAGGACATTGAGGAATGATGCATGAGGAATGTTAAAAGCCCATCCTCACATGGACAGACCTATGAGATAAAATCTTTTATGTGTGTGTGTGTGTCTCTCTCTTTAGGTACAACCCCAGCAGACTAACCAAGAGAAGATGAAATGCCTCCATGTTAACATCCTATGGAGGAAATTTATTTCAAAGGCACAGGAAGTATGTGAAACTCCAGAAAGGACTCAAGAAATCATTTGATAAATTACTCTTTATCTGTTTTATAATATAGAGGAATAGAACGCAGAACTGCTTCATAATTGCTAAAATGTTTTGTTTTGCTGATCTTGCTGTTCTATCTGTAACTATTTTCATATACTGCGCTACTTAAGCCACTGACAGCAAGCAATGTAACGAAACAGTCTCATGTTCAGAGTTTCCGCTCAGTTTTTATTTGTCAATAATAAAAAATGCAGCATACAAAACATTAAAAAGTCTTCAATTTTACAAGAGAGAATTATAACTCTCCATGCTGAAAGCAGCCATTCCTTCGTTTTGAAGTTAAGACCAAATGTGTTCCCTGGTTTTAGTTGTACTAAAAACTTTAGAGGGATTTAAGTTGTTGTTTCTTAAACGATCTCCGATGAGCCAACCCTACAGGCACTTTTACAGATCTAAAACTGTTAAGTAGTCATCATGCCAAAACGTCTATGGACCTTTCTGTGCACATTGAACCCATCCTGTCAATTCATATTCAAGGTAAGTGCCATGCATGAGTTCAGAATTGACTCAGTATTCAGCATTAATTGTGCAGTAATAAATGTTTTTTTCAGGGGCAGGAGAGTGCCAAAAGAAAAAAAGGAGACTCGTCTTTAAAACAATGTTTTTCTCTATTGCAATAGGATTCTTTTTTTGTGATGGAAGCAAATTTTCTACTACTACTAGCGACTTGCTTAGTAAAATCCATAAAAATCTGTACTAAAATGTAAAGAATATGGATGGACACACAGTAAACCCGTCTGTGCTTTATTAAACAAATAGATTATGCTTGGAGTTGACAGTGGTGGACAGTTGTGTCTGACCAGGATCATATTTTTATCTTTACTTTTAAGTCAATTCCAAACAGTAATGAGTCACCCAGTCTCCTCTGCAGTCCTTGAATATACTGACTTAAAACTCTCCCACTTCTGTCCTCGTAGCACTTTTCTGTCTTCTGCTCAGAGCAGCTGCTGCTAGGCAAGGCTTCATGCCTGCATGCATATATTTAATATTTATATCAAAACAATACTCAGAAGTAAGAGAAAAAAGCATCAAGGAATAATTCAGCTGAAATTCAATATATAACACAAGTAACATTTTCACTAGTTAATTGTTATATGATTACAGCAATGTTTTAAACTACTTTGTTAGTGGAAAAAGTGATGTGACTACAGTAATGTGTTATTAATAACTACCCCCAAAACCGACTCAGACTACTATATTGTATTGAAGGGGGATCAATGCGTCACATCACAATAAACAAACCATGAGCTGTGCGTGAGCGGCACAAAGAAAAATTATGCATATGGCATCACAGTATTGCAGACAGTTTTGACGTGACTGAAAGGAAGGAAAATATAGTGGAAATGAAGAATAGATTGCTACTTTCAGTGCTCACAACCAGTTAAAACTGTTATTTGGCAATTCACAAGATAATATTGGCTGTTTACTGTGAAGATGTATTAAAAAAATGGAATAATTTTATACACACATCTAGATTTGGGCAATATAAAAAAACAAAACACATTAAATTTGCCTAATTGGGGTGTCTCAAACAATTGTGGGAGAAGTCTGACTTGGTAATTACTGTGTAGTTTTAAATAAACAGAATTGTGTGCCATGTTTCACAATATTAAGAGAAACCTATTAAATGAATACAGCGATTGACATATTGCCCGGTTGTGCACACAGGTTGATTGAATAGTTCCATCATAAGGATAGCCACAGTATGTTAAGAAAATGGCATATTGTTATTATAAAAATACGAAGAGGATGCTAACATTTGGTTTGCTAAAAATATAAAAATAAATTATTTGGATGGTATGATTGTAAAAATGGGTATTCTGCAAGTGTGCTTTTCTGTTTTATCTTTTTCAAAGCTCCATTCTCTCCTTGTGTATCTATACAATTTTAGAATCAGATTAGCTGGCACTGACTCTGACCAATATGACAGGAACATTATCAGTGATTTTTATAATCATGTGTAAGATACATGTATCTAGTCATAATCTAATTGGCAATTATGTTAAAGGACCATACTGGTGTTTTCTATCTTATTATCATTATTATTGTTGTTGTTGTTATTATACCCTTTCAGCGAATGCAAATCTAAACAAACAAACACCTATATGAAGATGTTCATACTGTATAGAAATAAATAAAAAAAGAAAAATGTCAAACACCAGAATGGTCCTCTAATGGCCAGATCTTTTGCCAGGATACTTGAATCCAAACAGTACTATTAGCAATGGCTGCCAAAGAATACATTCAGATCCGCAAGTGAAACCATTTGCATAGAAAGCCTTTCAGTAGCACTATAACCAAAGAAAGATGTCAGGTTTATTAAACTTTTCTAATATTTTTTTTAGGTGTATGGCTCCAACAAACCTGCAATTGCAGCTGAACAAAGAATCCTCTTAAGTAAAAAATAAACAAAAGCAAAACATGGTAGGCTCAGAATAATCAGGAACATTAAGATTGCTTATCCATGAATTGTGTGAGTCTACTATTGCAAACACTCACCAGAGTTCAGATGATCGTACCTTTGTAAGACCACAGACTGCTCTGCAACTGTCTGTCACTTACACAACTATAGCTATCAGGTGTATTCAGAATGAGCGTAGTGGCCTCTAATTTTGAGCATCCCCTAACCTAAAAGAGAAAGGCTAAAATAAGACTTAAAAGTGTGATACGACAGCAACTTAAATGGTGTTAGTAAATAGATTGAAAGACACGTGGTGAACGAATAAATAACCCTGATGAAAATAAGGTCCCATTCAGTTGTGAGGTGATAGATTGAGTAGAAAACATTGGCACACGTTAGCTTGGACTTCTGGGGACTTCTTATGAAGTCAGACAAGACTCTTAAAAGCTGTCTTTTGTTTCTTTAGAAACGAATTAGTGTACATCCATTGTCTTTTTGGTCTCAGAAAGTTGTAAAAATGCCTTAGCTTTGATGAGAAAACACTGCATTAATGATGCAGTGAAATGAAAACTAGTTTTCCCCTTCACCTTTTACATCAGTTGGTAAGAGCGCTTTAAATCTGTGCCATGCAACCAACATACACTGCTCTTTTCTCCTGCATGTTGTCAAATGAAGTTATTCCCTCCATTGCTGATGAGCTTCCCTTTCTTCTTGAGTCTCTTCAGCAGACAGGAGGCGATGCCTAAAGCGCCGCCCTTCAAAAAGCGAACAAAGTTGTCTCCCGTCAGTGGGCCCATGGCAAACAGACCTGGCTCCTTGGTACACTCAAACGTGTAGGGGTGGATGTCAATGGGGTTCTGCTTGCAGGAGATGGGTTTCGTTGGATCATGACCCAGGTACTGGCCCTGCCCCTTCAAGAAAAACAAGTTTGGGTTGGTCCCAATCAGCACTAGGGCCATGGAAATCTTGAATGCCTTGAGAGAGTTGTTCCCCTGCAGCAAACACTTCATGTCAGACTGGAAAGACACCACGCAGTGTTCAGGGAAACTGGTATAGTCAGGAAACAGGCTGGCACTGGCATTACCAGCCATGTTACCTGTGGCAAGTTGAGGCTTTGGGCACATCTTGGCACATACTGAGGAGGCAATACTAACTGCCTGGGGTCTGTTTAAAGCAGAGGGTGGAGCCACGTCCGTGTAGGTCTGAGAGCACATCATGTTGTAGACTTTGTGGTACTCTGGGTAAAGAGTCTTGGGCAGCTGTTTGAAGATGAGGTCTGGGTCGTCTACACTCTTACGAAAGACATGCAACACTCTAATGTTGCTGTTACAAGCACACAGAACTGCATCTGCAGCACTTAAACCGGCACCTACAATTAAAACTGGATCTGAGTTCATATCCAGTTTTCTCCGGCTTACAGCCAAACCCAGGTCTGAGATGCTGTGAAATACAAAGGGTAGGTCCTCCCCCTCTACACCCAAATGAACCGGCGAATCAGACGCACCGGTGGCCAGAACTACATTCTCAGCAAATAGAGAGAAGGGGACATGAGTGTCGCTCTGCACCTGCTGGTATCCCCTTACTTCCCAGAGCGCCCCCCCTCCTCCCTTGTTTAGGCACTCAACACCATTTCCCTCAAAACCTTCATTCCCACCATCTCCCACCCCTCCATCTCCTTGATCAGTGTGTCCATTTTCCAGACCTTCTCCCTCGTGCCCCCGGCAGAGTTTCTGGACAGAGGTCACGTAGGTGTTGTCAACAAAATTCTTTTGGAGGCCCTTTAGTTTCACATAGTTACGGTAATAGGATGAGATCTCCTCCGGAGTGGCTCTGTCACTGGTTACATCCCTAGAGAGAATAGAGACGATGAGGAACGAGAGGTAGCAGAGTTAAACTGAGACTTGAGCCATGTATTTGCTGTCCTCTCAGTACCTGCGTTTCCCATTGGTCAAGTCTCTGTAGTTAACCCCAGGAAGCTCCATCCAGATGCCAAGACTTATAGTCAGCATGGACCCTTCCATAGCCTGAGGGAAGAAGAGAAGGGTAGAGGGAAATGCAATGTCAAAGAAGGACAAAAACTAAAATATGGATCATTACAAGTGTGTGGCAGACTAAACCATGTAGCTTACATGCCAAGCACCTCCAGGCGTTGCCCTTCCCAGCACCAGATGTGGGATGTGTTGCTGTTTGTCTCTCCTCCACTGAAGGACAGGGGGGAACTCATAGCCAAAGTCAGCATTGGGGTGGAGTAGTGTGTCAAAAAGCACAGCCACAGGGTTCCTTGACCTCCCCTCAAGACCTTCACTCAAATATTCCAGATCCTGCAAGGGAAAAAAGTCCAAATCATGACACACCTGAGTGGCCTGTCCATATGCAAAGAAATTCGTAGGTGCTTTTACCTGTTCGGTGATAGGTAGGTGTTTGGTCTCCTGCAGCTTCCTGTAGAGTATCGGGTTTGGGTGGACAGTTGCCGTATCTAGGTAGGGCTTGTATCCACTCAGCAGGTAGGACAGACAAATACCTGATGGCCCGTTGCCTAGAACAGACCCAGGTTTGGGAAGTTGTGAATTAGCATGTGATACAAGTTAGATTGAGAAGTGGAATGTGTGAAGAATTAGTTGGAGTAACAGTGTGAAACCATTTAAGGCAAGGTTTACCTATGATGACTACAGGGACAGTGGGTGGGCGCTCTTGTTGGTGAGTGGTCTCTTCCAGAAGAGGCATGGCTGCAGCCTAGGCCAGAGCCGGCACTGAGGAGGAATTATAGAAATGTGAAGAAAGTTCCAGACATTTCTGTAGCCGTCTATTTAATATTCAACAAAACCCTCACGTCCATTTGTGCTTTTGCCTCCCCCCATTCCGTGTCAGATTATTTGAACAGGTTCAAACCGGCTTGCTGTCTTTGTGTCTGCCAATGTTGTTGTTGTCTCATGTTAGCTTAGATCCTGTCTCCCTCCACCATCATCAGCTGACTCAGAAACACACACACACCGAACGGGAAAATAAACCTTTATTCATCCTGTTATTGTGCTTCCACACACAGTCATGACCCTCCCTGTCTGTCTGGGCTTCACACACGTGGAAACACCCCGCCACAACACAACGTGACCCCAGCTTTTCTCTTTGCCATCCACACACCCCCTGTCCTATCAAACACGGCCCGCGGCGAGGCTAGCCTCTGTTAACCCCGGTGCCGCTTCCCAAACAATAGGGAGTTCTAATCAGATTTATGTAGGCTTGGGTCTGTTGTGAAACGTTGCCGTTGAGCATGTGTAGTGTGTGTTTGTGTGTTACGCGACAGTGCCATTGTGTGCCCACCGGGCAGCAAATCCCCCCTGATCACTCCTCCGAGTGGGCCCTAATCCCACTGGCCCTGTTTATGTCTTTACCGCCCCTTTCAACAGGAGCAGGGTGAGAATGTGGTCCTGGCATGCTGACAGACCAAACCATCAGAGCTCCTCCTCCTCTCATACCCCCCAGTCAGCCACTGCCGCCACTACCACACACTCACAGACACTCCCGCCAAAACATTACCCATCAGCCTCAGCAAACAGTGCCCACTTGCCCCAGTTTCATACTAACCAAAACACTGCCCATACCGCCTTTGTCTTACATTCCAAGAGTCTGGCTCACGTCCCTAAAAACACCAATGTCTCCCTTCTGCCAATACAGTCTGCCTCATTTCATGTGCGCCCCTCTCTCCCTCCCCCTGTCTGACCATGTGTCTGTAGGCCAACCAGTTGTCTTTGGTCGTCGGCTTGTTTACCCTTTTCAGTAAAAGCGCAGGGATTCCACATATTGCCTGCTCTGTTTAGAGAATGTCGTGCCACCAATTTCGCAAGCTGGTATTTCCATGCTACTGGTCAATTTGACAATTTGTTTTTTGCTAGAACTTTCACTTTGCACACCCTTAACTCGTACCAAAATGAGTCCCTTAGTGTATGTCGATTTCAGGGGATCCCATTTAATTCATAAGAATTTAAGATTATAGTGTTATCTGTCCACTTTCTTCACCAATAAAATAAAGAACAGGTTAAAATAACAAGCCTCCACATATGGTTGACAAAACAGAAGTATGTTGTTCAGTAAGGAAGTTCATTCTAGACCTTGGGAACAGTATTTATGACAAAACAATCTCAACTAGGTCCATTTACCAACTTTTTGTTTTTTCAGATGCATCTTAATCAGCAAATGGAACAAGATTATTTAATCACACCGCAGTATGTAGTATGTGTTTGGGATGGTTAGGTTATTCTTCACTCCCCTGAACTTCCAAACGTAAGTCTTCCAGCTTTAATTTATCAGCCTGAGTTAACCTGATTATTACTCAGTTTCTGTTGCTCATTTGCTGTTGACACTTCTTTAATAAATTTGTATTTTGGTTGGGATTATGTTGACAAAGTAAGTAAATAATGAGCATTAGTGAAGTATGCTTTATTTTCTGTATCTTTAAAATCAATTCACTACCAACAGTAAGGTGTGCATTTCAGGGAAACCTTGGGAGTTAAAAAAACAAACAAACTACATCCACTGCTAAAATGTGACATTAAAAGAAATGTTGACTTCATTGTTGTGGTGCGTTGTACTGTCTTCCTGCCCTTTCATGTGTGCTTCTGCAGCATGAGTGGAGAGGATGGACTATACTTTTCTAGAACAGAGTGTAGGCCTGATGAGTATTATATGGAAAACAAATGAAACTTAAAGCTAAACGTGTAATGTTCAGTGGGGGCAACAGAATGACACTGCATGTATTAAACAATCAACTTTTCTGTCGCTAATTTGGTAACCATGTTTGAAAATATTACTACTGCTTTTCAGGAATCCTCTTCTATTTTTTTCTTGGTACAGGCTCTGTTTGAAAGATGCGTTTGATTTCCACAGGCCTACAACTACAGCCTCATTTAAGCACTTGGGCTAATTTGCACGGAACAGCCTGGAGGTCAGTTGCAAAATTAGGTAGACTTTAATCAAGCACCGGATTGTATATAGGGCCTATATGTGGATGATTCTGCAGCACAAGCTACTAAAGGAACTAAACAATGATGTAACTGTTTGTTCCCACTCACTTAATGCACATCACCCTCATGGACCCGCAAGCTCAAACCTCCCACTACACTCCTGAGCAGCGGTCCTTGCAGCCTGCATCCAATAAGGCGCAAGGAGCACATGCGACAGCGTCTATGTCACCATCATTGCATGATTTAGGTCAGATACACACTCACGGCCATCCGCAACACTCCGTCAAGAACAGGATATCTTACCGTGTTGTGATGTATGTCTCTGTCTGCCAGTCGCGTCCTGTTATCACGACCCACGGTAGCGTTTCTAACCGTATAAATAGGCAGACACCGGTGGGAGGACCTATACAACTGTCCGGGCTCTTGCATGAGATAATAAACCAGCCTCTCTCTCGTCATCACACACACACACACACACACACACTTACCTCCGTGCAGTTAAATGCGAGCAGACCTAGTTTATTCAGGTATGGTCTGCCTGTAGTGTGAGGAGGTAGGCTAGATCGTGTGTGTGTGTGTGTGTGTGTGTGTGTGTGTGTGTGTGTGTGTGAGAGAGAGAGTGATTGTGAGAGTGAGTGAGTGAGTGAGAAAAAAGACCCGGCTCCTGCGTTTGCTTTTGTCGTCATATGCGCATCTCACTCTGCCCCAGCAGGCGTGAGCGCGTTCACAGAGGAAGAAGATCAGAGCATCTCTCTCCGCATCCTCACAGCGCCGCCGACACTCTGCTGTTCACTGAGTGGACATGCCAATGCTGTCCTGTATTGTTTCTGCCTGGCCATGTAGAATTAAACAAATAAAGCCCCTGTAATGAGCTCCTGTAAGCTGAGATATGTTTTACATAAAAGTGTTTTTTTGTTTTCCAAAATGTCCTGTGACGGGAAGGGAAAAGGCTACCCAAATGGAAAAGGGTCCATAATCAGCATAAACATGGCTGACTCAGGCTATGCTGCAAGGCCAGACCAGCTATGAGGTCTGGACCTCCGTAATCATGTGAAGGCTATAGCCTATCAATAAAAATAGTTGATAGTGGAGCTTCTCCCCATAAAGAGCATTTACGCAAGAGTCACAGCAGCATAACTTCACATTTAAGTCGCTGACAAGGCGACAGGGTCGTTCAGAATCTAATGTTAATTCTTGTTCTGTGTTCTCCACCACATCCAAAAGGCCTGACACACAGTCCAGGTTCATACAATGAAACTGTCTGGAGTGAAGCAGCTGTCCTTCTAATCAACCCCGCGCTCCATCAAAGCCTCAAAATTATTTCAGAAGCTAAAAGTTGAATTCTGTTTCCTGACATCAAATTATTAGGCTGTAATATTGCACAGAGCATCCTCTGCATTCAGCAATAGCCTGCTGCATTTTGTTCTGTCATATAGTAACAGTAGAGCCCATTATGTAGTCTGCACATCATTTGTAAAGTCCTGTGATGACAGTTGTAGGCTACTTTTGAGATGCATCTAGCCCAATGCAGGTTGTGAAGATTAGTATACAAAGATTTCCCTGTTTGCTCTACCTGGTCATATGCCTGTCTGTATTTCTTTTTTATGCAGATTTAGTGAGCCAAGCACTGGGGAGAAAGACCATGATGAACAGCCTGTGTGTCCACTGTTTAAGCCTTCACTGTACACACACACAGAAGAAGAGGGTAAAATTTAGCATAAATAAAAGTATTGTTTTGCCAATAGGTCCTTTATATGTATTTCATTATAGATCATTAGTTTATGTAACTGTAGTGTTTAACTTTGGTGGTGTTTAGGTGTAATTTTGCTATGAATTGCTGTAAATAAGCTCTATTTAAAAAAAATCTGGACCTCACTAATTTCTAAACCCTGGTTACAGCCCTTGCTGCATACAGTGAGGCGCCAGTGGTGCATAAAGTCATAATGCATTCATTGTGAAAAAGTTCCAAAACCTATAGATTAAAATCATATAAGTACTATACATCTGTAATAAAAACACACAGGAAATTAAATATTTAACCATTTAGAGGTGCGTAAACTTCAAGTAAATAGGACAGGATGTATGGCAAACTTCAAGGATTTTTTTTATATTAGTGGAAGATTGAGCCACTGACTGATAGTGGCGCTTCCTTTTCAAGTAGCATTAGTTAAGGATAATGTTTTGATGACAGGTCAGAGGGTCACAAGAATCATTTTGAGTTGTCCTTTGAGGATATTAATCATTCATTCCAAATTTTGTGGCAATCCATTCAGTACTTGTTGACCCAGCTCAACATGTGGGAATGACAGACAAGGACTCTATCCTGCTATCTTGCTATCCTCAGGCCCTGCTCACTGGGGGCAAAGACTATAAGAATTAAATGTGTGTTGAAAAATTAGTTGTTATGCTTTGTTGATGAACATAAAATATTTGTGTATACACCGTATTACACACATACACAATGTAATGTAATCCATTATATTAATGTCAGTGTAGTTTCTTGTGTTGGGCAGAATAGCACTATTTGCTATTTACTATTATTTAGAAACTTTATAAGATAATGATCATGCAATACATTTGTTGATGGCCGCCACTGCATGGGTTTTGCCAACACAAAACTGTTGCATCAGCCAGGTAATAATGAGGGAAACGATTGGCTGAAGAAAATGTACTAGTGCTAAGATTCAGAGGTGATTTGTCAAAAATATTGTGTTACTCATCTTAAAATAGTTATGGCGGCTGCACTGTAATTGCACCATGATGCAGTTGCTGGTCTCATAGAAATACATTTAACAGCCTGTCTAACTTGGACTGAATGGCGTATTTAAAATGTTGCATTTATTCACATAGGGGAAAGTTTAATCAACCATCCAGTAACTTTCTGTTTCCCAGTTCCCAACTAAATAACTATTATCCATATGCTCATAAGTACATTTGGCCTGTATAGTCCATTTTGATATTTCAAAACTAACACTAATTAAAGCATTTTTAATTGTTGGGTATTATTATAAGATGAATGCTGAGATGCACAACTTGTAAGCCAGGTGCAGGGAATGTGCAGTTTATCTTGTGTTTCAATGTAAGTATTCATGAACTAACCCGATTATGTACTAGTCTGATTCAATTATGTAATGGTCTGTTTATATGCCAAAAAAGTTGATCTTGCACCAGAAGGATGTGTGGTGGGTACCAGCACCATGGTCCAAACAGTTGTCAGTCAACCCCGCAGAGTCCCGCCTCTTTCCTCCATGAGCCAATGAGCTGCGAGAAACCACCGCTTCCGGTCCTCCATACATACACATGTAAGCTATCCCGTATCTCAGTTAACAACACAAAAAGTGGCAATAAACGCAACCGAGGATGGTTCAGTTCAGCAGAATCTGCTTCCGGAAGGTAAGTACTATATCAGACCCAATGTTAATCTCATTAAAACAGTTTAATTTAGAACAGCAGCTGTTTTACGAACAGTTGTAATGGTGACTTTGGCTGACAAGCTAACTGCTCGCTGGCTGTATGGTGTGTAATGTCAAAACATCAACATTGTCTAACTTGGTCTGTGTGACCTCTTTGATCAAAGTATAATCTTAATGCTAGCCATCATAATCCCAAGCACTTTTAGGACTTCTCATGGGAGAGAAGCTCAAAAATGCTTGAAAGCATGCAGCATTGTTGAGCTCGGTCAGTCAAAACAATCCCACGATGCAATGGAAACTTGAAAGCTCCAGAAAAAGCAAAACGTGGACCTTGAATTGGAATTGTTTTGTCAAACATCATATGTATTGTTTTGTGTATTTGGCATAAAATCCAGGTCAGGTGATCAAATAATGTTTAAACCAATAGGAAAGATTATGAACAAGAAAATTACATTGACATTATTGCTAGTTTCCCATAAAACGATTTGACCTTCTTTTTAAGATTGTAGTGGTTACCTTATTGTAAATAAAGAGTACTTTATCCGTGTCTAAGTTAATGCAACATTACCCCACTGAGTTTTCCTTGTATGGCTGCAATAGCTGTTGCAATTATTGTTTTTAACATTAGCCCTTTCCCTCAAAACCAACACAACTAATAACTAATTTTATCCAAGATATGTGTTATTCAAAATACAAATACAAATCAAGCCAATCTAGCTTTCTTCATGGATGGATAGAACAAACGTTGTGAAATGTCATTTTGTCTCTTTCTCATAATCTTTCTCACATTACTGCCACATGTCAATAGATGCTGTTTGTATAAAGGTAAACATTTTAGTAGTTTGGGTTACCTGTTGGGGGCAGTGAGGCAGCTCCAGACTTGACTCACCTGTTTATTATAAGTGGCATTGTCCCATTTACATTACATTTACTCATTTAGCTGACGCTTTTATCCAAAGCGACTTACAATTGCTATATATAGGTCAGAGGTCGCATGCCTCTGGAGCAACTATGGGTTAAGTGTCTTGCTCAGGATGGTGGATGGGTCACAGTGGCGACTTGAACCTGGGTCTCTCACACCAAAACCACCCCTAACTTGCATACGTTTTGAATCTCCTCACTGTAATGTCACCTTTCCTCCTCCTGCAGTATGGAAACTTTGTGGACAACCTCCGCCTGTACACCCGTGGAGGCAGTGGGGGCATGGGCTTGCCCCGTCTTGGGGGACAGGGAGGGAACGGGGGAGATGTTTGGGTGGTGGCCACAAAGAACATGACCTTAAAGAGGATCAAGGATAAGTACCCCCACAAACGTTTTATAGGAGAAGCAGGAGCCAACAGCAGGTTTGTTTCTAAAAATAAAACCTGAAGTTTCCTTTTAAGTGTCGTTATTGGCTATCTGTTGCCAATCATTGACATCAGCTGATGATTTATGTTTGGACCCTCAGACCATGTGTAATACATGCTAAGAGTTCTTTTCTCTATTTAGTTTGTGTGCATTCACTTTATTGACAGTGTCCGAGCACTGAAAGGAGAGAGGGGGAAGGACAAGGAGATCTTGGCTCCTGTTGGTATCACAGTTACCACTGATGATGGCAAAATACTCGGTATGTCAAATGTCTTTTGTAATACCTCCCCCATTTTTACAATGCCTGGTCAGCATAATCAGCGATACAATTTTAGTTCTAATAGACTTGATACAGTGGATCTGTGAGAGTAGAGACAGTCTTGGCGTCTAAAATGACACAGCACTTGCTATTGGTCAGCCATTAATATCTCCGTTGTATCGCACTGTATCTGTGTCAGCACAAACTCACCAGGGAGGTTTCCTTTGAAATATAAGCAACTGAGGATGTGGACGTGAGATTTTACATTTTATGGGTTTAAGCACATCATTTGTGGCATAAAATGTATATTATCATTAATCAAATGGGAGTGGGAGAATAGCTGTCTGATGTTGCAGTAAAAAGCCTATTTTATTACTAAACTATTTATTTATTTATTTTAAACTATTCTCATCCCCCAAGGTGACCTGAATACTGAGGGTGATCGTCTGATGGTGGCAAAAGGAGGACACGGAGGCTCCCTCTCCTCTGCATTTGAGCCCAGTAAGGGCCAAGCCAAACATATAAGGCTGGACCTCAAACTCATCGCCGACCTGGGCCTTGTTGGGTGAGAGCAGAAAGCACCATTGAACATGTTGGTTGATTTCAGCTGAGGCTCAAATTGGTACAGATATTTCTCTAAATAACTGATGTTCTTGTGTTGATTACCGGGTCAGGTTCCCAAATGCAGGAAAGTCCTCTCTCCTTACAGCCATGTCTAATGCCACACCTCAGATTGCCAGCTACGCTTGTGAGTACACAATACTACACCCATGTACTGCTGTCTGAGTTAAATAATTCCTTGAGTCAATCTTTTTTTTTTTTCTAAAATCTTTATTTCACAGTCACAACTTTGAAGCCGGAGATTGGCAAAGTGATGTATAAAGATTACAAGCAGGTATGGGATTGCATGTTAGTTTAGTGTCTTTAACTGTCCATTCAGTTACTTTCTTTTTAGTGGTTTCCCCTCATTGAGTGGTGTATTTATCATTTTTTAAAATTTTCGGTAGATTTCTGTTGCTGATCTCCCAGGCCTGATTGAGGGAGCTCACATAAACAAAGGCATGGGCCACAAGTTCCTAAAACATGTGGAGAGGACCAAGCAGCTGCTGTTTGTGGTGTGTAGTTGAAGTGACAGAGTACATAAGCTGACTTGTGTGGTCAGAATAACCAGCTGATGATTGCCTGTGCTGATGACAATGATGATGATGGAGTTGGTAGTTAGGTGTTGCTTTGTCTGGCTGCAGGTGGATGTTTGCGGTTTCCAGCTGGCAAGCAAAACACGGTTTAGGTCGGCCTTTGAAGCGGTTCAGCTTCTCACCAAGGTGAGACTGATTCTTTTTACCATTCTTCTTTTTCAATTCACTCCTGATCCATCGACCTCAATTTATTTCCCTTCTCTATCTTCTTCTTCTTCGTTTCCTCCTCCTCCTCTTCCTCCTTCACCATGGCCTCAAGGAGTTGGAGTTGTACAAAGAGGAGCTTGTATCGAAGCCGGCTTTACTGGTGGTGAATAAGATGGACCTGCCTGATGCTGAGGACAAACTTGCAGAGCTGAAGGAGCAACTACAAAATCCAGACGGTACATTTGATGGATTATGTGTTATTTTATTCATTCCATGTCATCTTTCCCAACACATGGGCCTGATTAATGCATTTGCTCTGTGTTGAGACACATTAAATGCATTAACAAGGTAAAAAAGTGGTGATCTTTTGCCTCCTGTTTGACGGTGCAGCTGCTCAGAGATACTAAGCAAATCTTCCCTTACCATTTAATGATTATAACTACTTATAAGACACAGAAAACAATTGTATTGAAAACACTTTATCCATGCTAAATGCTATCCCATCTGGGTATTTCATTACAAAATTGGCATTTTTGACTTTACTAATGCATGCAGTCAGAGGGAAATTAGCCTCGTAGCAGTTTATGTGAAGACAGAGTTCCAGTTAGGACCAATGGCAATAAAAAAGTGTTAGCAGACACAGGGCAATAACTCAAAAGGTTCAGCATTATGATAACTAAGAAACACAAGAAACACAAACCCTTTGTGTTGCCTGTAATGTGTTAACTCGACAATCATACATATATTCCTTCCTGCAGAGTTCAATGATCTGTTGCCTGAAGACATGATACCGAAGAAGTGTATGACCTTCAGACACGTGGTTCCTGTCTCTGCCTCCACTGGGTTTGGTATCGACCATTTGAAAAGTTGCCTCCGAGAATCGCTGGATGAAAATGCAGAAATGGCAACTAAAGCCATCCATCAAGAAAGACTGCAGGCACTGAGGTTCCAGTCACAAGAGCGATTGTGATAAACAACAGATAACATGTTGCACAATTTAGTGGCCTCTACAGTGCACCACGACCGACGAGTGTGTCTGCTAAAAAAAGTTCAAACTAATTGGACTTCAATGGCAGGTAAACACCATCCACTGAGAAACACCGGTGGCAACAGAAACGATGTGGTTTCAGTGCAGACCTGCCCTCAGGAGTTTGACCGAGGATGACTTTATTTCACCTGACCATCGCAGCCAAAACATCCAGTGTTACGAGGCTCCATGAGTTCAGCATGAGTTGAACTGTGCTTCGAATAGTCTCTTGTTTGGTTGGAGGTTGTTATGAAAATCTAAGTCACAGTTAACAGGGTCACCTTTATTCAGAAATTACGCATTGTAAAAAAGCTGAAATCTGTTTGAACACCAGACTGATTTATATGCTTCCCCATGAAAGAATAGATGGTTAGGCAGGCGCAAAAGCATCATTAGCTTTAGTGCCAGATACATTAAATTATAAAGAATGTAATTGGAACCCTTGTAAGAGAGGAGAGGTGCAATTGTACCAACCAGTGCTTTTCTGTTTCTTCAGATCGTTCATGAAATTTTGTGTGTTGTAAGGTTGGACTGATAACTAAAGTCTGCTGTTTAGGACTCATAGCAGTGATTTTTATGTTAGGTAACACGGGGCCAGGGATTACTGTGGTAGCAAAGCCTGAGTTAGCCATGACTGATTTCATATTGACATTTGCAAAGAAACTGTATTTATTGTTGGAGTGCTCACGTCTGGCTGATACACAAGCCTCTAAATAAGGTCTCATTTGCTGTAATGTAATACAAAACAATTAAAAAGATTTTTAGAAATGGCAGCATAGGCAGATGTGTTGATGAAAGTTTTATTTTATATTAAATATATTACAATACTGAATGATTAAAGGGGGAAATATGGGGATTGGTTTTTGCATCAGTCTGTACAGCATACAGGTAGGGGAAAAAAAGACAGCTACTGCAGTACTTTTATTTTAACTAGCGCAGGTTTTCAAGGTTCCTGCAGCAGAATGCTGATGTGTCTGGCAAGATGGGACCACATGGTTGAGAGACTGGGTGGTGGTTGTGCTCCAGTACACAAATACATTCAAGTCTCTGGCCAGACAGAGACAGACAGCTCATCTGTAGGGGATGTTTTTGCCAGGGTCGTCCTGTAAGGATCTGTCGGTCCAACCATGTGCTCGCAGGCAGATCCAGCCAATATGTTTGGAAGATTGACAGTTGTACAGTCGTAGAAGTCACTGCCACCTGCATGGTCCCATTCGTAGTGGAGAGTGCTCAGAATGTAGTGCAGTGCACCCTCCATGACACCAGGACAGATGTCTCACTGTAGCACAGTATTGTGATATTTAAAATATTACTCAATAGTTCAAATGCTCTCCACAGCATTGGGCAGCCTAGGAAGATAGCTGGGCCACTAGACACTGACCAATACTTGAAGAAGACCAGAGTAAAGACAAAAGCTCTGGTAGAAGGCAAATCATGAGCCCATACAGACATTTACAATGTTATGTGTGTCCAAACGTTATATGATACAGATTAGCACATGCCAGAGGGATGACTGCTTCTATTGGCCCTAGGACAAATGTGTTTCAAAAAAATGTCTCCATTCAAACTCATCAACACACATAATTAGAAAAATGCACTTAATTACTGTTTGGATCGTTGCCATACATAATGATGAGAAAAAAGATTACAAAGGTACTTAATAAAAAAACATACTAGTAGCAATATTAGTCCAATATTGTGAAGATCATATTACCTATACAGTCCTAATAGATACATGAGTTACAAATGAACAAGTGCCCACACCAGAACAAAAAGTAAAAAACAGTAAAATGACAAACAGGAGGCCGTAAGAGAAGAAGAACTTGCTTTCGGGGAGCGATATGGCATACGTTTCCCAAAATTCAACTTAAATAGCTACACTGGTGTCAGTCAAAGCACAAAAACTCTATTCAATCATTTAAAAACCTGCCATGAATTGTCCTGACTTTGCTGACAAACAGTGTAACAACAGTGTAACAAACAGCAAATAGGCAATGAGGGGAGAGTCTTTCAGTGGCATGCTTGTTTCCAGTTATGGTCTCACAAATAGCCTATCAGAGAAATAATTTGATATAGAACTGTCATGCTGTTGGTCTTCACAAGCTCAAACAGCAAGCACTGTACAGCATAGTTAATCATTTACAAGGCTAAATATCTCAATCAATCACAGCTAAATCCAAAATGCACATTTCAATCACAGTTTCCAGATTCCTCAGCCAATTAAAGTCATCAACCACACTCACGTTATTAACTTCCTATTCTTGCATTCATCTGAGGGACTTCACCCACTGCCATAGTGAAAACAGGAGCACACTGGTCTCAAACATCCAAACACACAATCAGGGGAAACTAAACACATCTTTATTTTATCAATGGGAAATTTCCAAAAACCACACGACGGAGAAGTGGTACCTCGATAACTTCACTAAATACATCCCATTTATTTCACTCAGGAATGGCACATAAAACTATTTCAATTTACCTAAATAATACTCATCAACAGCTGCTTCAGCAACATTCAAACATCTTTATCAATACGTCCTCAGTCATTACTGGATGCCTGTGCATTTCTCCCAGAGGTGGATGAAACCAGTGTCAAGATAATATAAAAACACGTTTACATTCTGCTGTGGATGGAGAAAGCTATATAGGTCACAGTCACACAGGAAAAAAGCCAGAGGGAGAAAGAAATGAGGCCGGAAAATAGAAACACAGACAGAACACTTATCTACAGAAATCTGCTTCTGTCTACAACACAATACAACAGGAAGAGGAGAGAAGATATGTCCCTCTCTTTCAAAATAAAAGCAGAAACATACTCTGTGTGTATTTTACTGTACATATTTACACACGTACAAACAAACCGAGAGGAGGGGGCGGAGGAGGAGGAGGAGGAGGAGAAGGAGGAGAAGGAGAAGAGCGGGGTCAGGTTGGGTCCATGTCATGGGTTATGGGATATAACTGGTGATACAATATGGGTTACTTATAGTGGAGAGAAAGCATCTAAGCCTACTGAAGGTATAAAATCACTGCCCCCTCGCATGCTTTCCTTTCAGATCAGACAACTGTTCTTCTAGTCTTTTCAGTAGGAGGAGGTTGCTGATAAACAGGGTTGACTCATGCATACAGTGTTGGAGTTTCTACAGTGATTCGCGTGCATCAAAATGATCCAACAAATCCAGCGATGCAGTGTGATACAATGCTCCTGGCTTCCACAGCTCCTTTTTTTTTTTAGAGAGAAACTCCAAACGGTGGCGGTGAAGTGAGCGTGACAAGAGCCGAGCTAAGGAGGGTGTGTCAAGGTTTGAGGTTCTAGGACGGGGAGGACGGGGGGGACGGGGGGGGGGTTCCAGACCCATAGGTGAGGACTGAGCAGACAGGAACAGCTCAGTCTGAGCTCCAGCTGTTCTGGAGTGGATGTGGAGCTGGTTTCTCGGCCAGTACTCCGCATCGCCTTGTAGAAATCCACTGAATGACGACGCCAGGCAAGACAGTCTCGGAGATGCTTGCACACACTGACTCACACACACATTTTGCCTATTTCCACTCCAGTGGGGGGCTCTCTCGCTTTCTCTTTTAATCGCTCAGAGTTAATTTTGTTTTATTTTTTGTGTTTTTCATTCATAGAAAAGGAGAGACAAATGTAGTTCCTTAAGGTCTTTTGCAGAGTAGGTAAGATGGCTGTTATATTGAAGTCTCCCACAGCTGAGGAGACAAGGGGAAAGCAAAGAAAAGAAAAAGGGATAAGGCATGAGAAAAAGAGACAAGACATTATAACATTTGCCAAATTCACTTCACTATTTAAATTAATTTTGAAAGATTAGCCTTATTTTATCTTTTTATCAAGACAAAAAGACAAATGTCATGATCCTCATTAGCCAAGTTTTAGTAACCTTCAGTATTCATAGTTTTGCCTTTGTAAAGCCACACTACACAACAATAACCCAATTATGAAGACTTGTCATCATCACGTCTTTAACCACTGATTTATGAACTGCTGAGATTTAAATCTTATCCTGAATTCATGAATAAATGGTATCTGCCCGGCCTGACTCACTTTTTGTTCATAAAAACGTGATTACAAACATAAAAATGAGTTGATTGTAGGTGCTGTCAGATGAGAGAGTAAAGTCGATCTCTGACCTCTACAGATCCCCTGCAAGCTATACTCTATAATTAACTAATCTGAGACAGTGACCATCTCAAAAGACAAAAATATTGTGCAGTCTGATCCTGGCACTTGAAAAGTTACACACTAAAAGAATTATAACATACAGAATAATATAAAATTATAGTTTCTGTCACCAATCAGCTCAAACTACAGATCCAGGTTCAGATTTGACAATATCCCTCTCCAAAACTGACGGCTCCAGCTGGTCTGTAGCTCAGTCTGAGGCAAAATACTTGATACCTAACCTTTGTACATTAAGATACTTTAACTGCCCAATTTTGTGCAGACCAGTGCAGAATTTCCACTGTACTGGAAATCAGTCATCATGGCCAAATTAGTGTTCCTGATTGATACTTGCCCTGGCACTCTGCCTGTTGGCTTTCCTCTGGTCGTCGGGGAGAGGGGGCATGGGGTAGGGGTATCTCCTGCTGGATGCAATAGATCCTGTAGAGGAAGTGGGAGACTTGGCAGGGGATAGTGTCCTGAAGAGAAGAGGATGTGACATTATTATAATATTGCCTCTTACAACCTGGTTGGTTTAGGATTAAGTTGGCCAAAGACACAGATGGATAAATGAGGTGATATTCAGGATGTTGAGTTAATGTTAGATCTGTGACTTTGGGCAACATCCTCCTTGACCTGCTCTAATTATTCACCTTCCTACAGAGAGAGGTTGATCGTAAAAGCTCTCACTGCAGTTCACCAAAAGCACAGAGACACAGTGTGAACATGGCTCAGCTCTTAGGGGCAACCTCTGTCCACAGTATGTGCCTCTGTAAACAGCAGCACACAGTTCCCAGCAGCGGTGTGGGCACAGTCATAGTTTCCTGAAACTCACATGCTTCAGCCTGCCACAGCATTAGTTTTTCATCATCAGGACATACAGACGGCCAGAATCTGCAGAAATTCACCTTTAGCCACTGTTAAAAAAGCATGCTAAAGGTAACCGCCGGAGCCGGTGTATGTAGTCTTGAAAAGTTGGATCACTGTGTGTATGTGTGTGTGTGTGTGTGTGTGTGTGTGTGTATGTGTTTCAATGAGGAATGCTGGGAGCAGTGAGTATGATGAGGTGACTGGGACGGCAGACCAGACCGGAGCTGGGTGAGAACAACGGACTGAGAGAATCAGAGGAAGCAGTCCTGTCCAGGGAGACTGCCACAGAGAGCCCGCCCCATGTACAGTAGCTGGTTTACGCAACTGCTGTATGGTGAGTGGAAACACCTGCATTGGTCAAAGTAGTGGAGAGAGTGGGGAAGTTGGTGGACCACTGGTTCCAGAAGTATTGACTCTCACAGTCTCTTCAATCCCACCGGTTACATTTGTGACCGCGTCTTTTTATGTTATTTCTGAATCTCTAAAAGTTGTATTGTTGGCTCAAGAAATTCAACTTTTAAATGAAAAAATAGATTGTCTTGATTAAAATTGATCAATATCATGTGACTAGTGTGAAAGGTCACATGACCAGATTAGTTTACTTCCTGCTTGCACACCTGGAAGAAGATGTCTTCCTCAGACTACTACAAAAAGTAGTAAGTAAAACACCTTAATTAACAGATAGAATTGTCATATTTTGTACATATATTATTTTAAGTGTCTACTACAGATATGTTTTGCTCATAAGAGGTGTAAATTTGTTAACGGTCACAATTGCAACCGGTAATATAACACAGTGCTTCAATTGAAAACACAGCTTTTGTCTGTTATCATTTGTTTATTTTCACACATTTTGAAACTATCAGATGTGTTGGACCTCCTAGACATACGTGACCCCTCAAGTGCTGTGTGCAGCATCATGGTCATTCCTACATTTGAAAAAGTGGAATTTGAAAGTGACTGTGACAGTGATGGCTCAGATAGGTCTCCATTGAATGACAATATCTGATGGATGAAGCAAATGTTCATGAGAACCAACTGGTTTGAGACGTCAATATAGGGGTGGCGACGGAGCAGTGGCTAAGGCACATGCCTTTGGTGTGAGATATTTCCACTATGATAAATCCACCAATGTGTTGCTGAGCAAGACACTTAACCAGTGTCTAGTTGCTCCAGAGGCGTGTGACCTCTGACATATATAGCAATTGAAAGTAGTTTGGGATAAGAGTGTCAGCTAATTAAACAATTATTTTTAATTATGTCAAATACATATATAGTGCAAACCAATCTGAACTTGGATGAGTTGCTAACTTTCTACGGGGTTCTTCTCACATCTTCTCATCACATGTTTTGGTCATTTGACCCTGATGTCTACAATGAAGCAAGGCCTACAGATCCTTGAGGGGTGAATTGATTGGTAATGTATGTATGGTTTAGATTGGTAGATGTTTTATTACAGAAAGTGTATGAAATAGTAATTTTGTTACTTGTGGTTGTAATTATAGTGAAAAAAAAAAAATTCCCCTTTTTGCTGAGGACCCCCTGGAACCACCATAAGGACCCCTGAGGGTCCCCGCACCCCACTTTGAGAGCCACTGTTCTAAGGCACAGTTTATGTCTGCCTGCTCTGACATGCTGAATGTTTTTGAAATGAAAATGTGTTTTTAATGTTGGTTTTTTATTGCTTTAACTTGCTTGTTCTAATTGAAGAATTTGTGTGAATTTTGACTATGCCGTTTCCCACCGAGTATAAAACCTAATATTTCACTAACTTAACGAACATAAGGCAAGGCAACATAAAATCAAAAGGGGCATCATTTTTGTGTGTTAGGAAGGTCTAAGGAGTAAAATGTATGTACTCAAATTGCTAGGAAAAATTGGGGATTAAACAGGTTAATTCCCATATTAACGTTTTTAAAAACTATAATAATAACTAATAATTAAGTGATCCACTAAAATGTTTTGTCTAAGACATAACGTTTTCCCCTGACTTTTCCTTTTGCGCAAACATGAGGTTCACATTTGTGTTTTAAGGAAGATGATTACTGGATGGATTGCCATGACACCAGTCTCAGCTTTGTATTCAGTGCTAATTAGCAAAAGTTTGCATGCTAAACTAAGATGGTAAACCATGCAAACATTACACCTGCTTACATTTATTCATTTAGCTGACGCTTTTATCCAAAACGACTTACAATTGTTATTTATGTCAGAAGTCGCGCGCCTCTGGAACAACTAGGGGCTAAGTGTCTTGCTTAGGGACACAATGGTGGACGTGTCACAGTGGTTAGTTGAACTCGGGTCTCTCACACCAAAGGCATGCGTCTTATCCACTGCGCCCCCACCCAACCCCACCCAACCCCACCCAACCCCACCCAACCCCACCCAACCCAATGTTAGCATTCATACATTATCGCAAGCATGGTGACTTTAACATTTACTTCAAAGCACCACTGTATAGATATAGCTTCACAGAGCTACACCGCTAGCATGGCTGTAGTCTCTTGGTCTAGATCTGGATACTACAGTAGCATACCTATGAGCCTACTATGGAGAAGTCTGCTCAGTGATTCTTTCTTATATAGCCTAAAATCCCAAATTTGCCTGAGAGGGCAGGAAAAAAATCCGTAATTTGGTAAATAGGGGCAGATTCTGTTTTTGTTTAGGTTTTTACATTTGTTGCATGATGTTATGCATCTCTTAACTTCCTATTATTACTGGTGCCATGAGCAACAGAATTTTAAGTTTGCTGATTGGCTGTTAATGCAGTAGTCTTGTAAAGTCGTTTGTACCCAGGCAGATTTTCTTTGAAAGCAGCTGTTACTTTCTTGTACAAACTAATTAATCAGAAGTACTTTGTGCCCTTTTAAATGCTGGAAACAACAGGTTATGTAACATTGTCAGTGAGAAAAACAAGTCTTTAGTTTTAGTAGTGGAACCAGGGCTCCTTCATGTAACCCTTCACATCCCTCCACATACAGTGTTAAATGTTTGGTGACGTTTAGCTTGTAGAAGTGAAACAGTCTGTGCGTTGACATGGGACCGGCGCTCTGCCGAGCCAGGGCACCCATGAGTTTCCTTGTTGTTGTCAAGGAAACCTTGTGGCCTGAGTTGGTGATTATCTATAGACCTTGACCACAGTGGCCTACAGTTTGCCACAGCAACACAGTGATGATGTCAGCGCAGCGCCCCAAATGTTTGGCTCTGCAGCGACATCACACCATGAAGTCACTGGGAGCGAGGCGGGGCTGACACACAGACACTCACTGGACACAGAACAACACACAACATGCAGAGGTAACAGGAGTCTGAGGGGAAGAAAAGAAGGAAATAAAGAGAAATTAGGAATAACATGACTGTATTATATATGTAACACTAGCACAGGCAGTAAGAGCCACTAGAGCGGGAATGATTTTGCAAAGTGCAGCTGATCAAAAATAAACAAATGTCTTCACTCAAACTAAAATGAAGAATGAAATAAAATAGGATTTATTATAATGTAAAGCAGAAAACCTCTTTTTAATGCTCAGCAGCAACTCCGTTTAGGAACTCCAAGTTGCAACATGCCAGCTGTCGATAACACTTTCTCTGAGATATTACTAAAAAGACCAGATTGGAGCTAATTCTTACTTTCCTTGACCAAGCCACAAATAAAACCAAAAGTGAGGGGGGTTTTGGAGAAGCGTGTGGGGAACAGGACATGGTCTGAGGTAATACCTAAGGTAAGGTCCTTGAGTGTTTCTATTCACATCTTCTACCCATTTAGTTACATCATAAAACTCTGCTTTGAAGCCAGGGGTTAAATACCTGTGGGAGGAGGAGGGGGGTGATGGACACAACACAAGGAGGGGGGAGAAGAGAGAAAAGGAAGGAAGTAAGGAAAAGAAATTGAAAAAGGACAAAATCTCCAGAAATAAGCAAGTGTTGGGGAGAGACAGGAAGAGGAAATATTTTAGGAAAGCAGAGCAGAGCAAAGATATCCTGAACAAACACCAAGATGCAATTGAGAAAAATGGTGACAAGATGGTGGACAGACCTGTGTGTGGTTTCAGATGAAAACAGCACCAAGGACATCACAAACAACTGTGTTGTGTGTTACAGGCTCAGTTGCATATTGGTAACATGTCACATCATTCCAAGCCTCTCGCCGCTCAGTCAGTCTCATGCTTTCAGCGAGAACAGGTGCGCCGCGGACTATTTCATATGCCAAGACCTTCAAACCCACAAACAAACAAAACAACACGCCAGGCTGGGAGGCAGCCGATGCACGTCGACATTTACAGTCAACAGGCATGAAGGCAAATACTTTGTTTTTGCCTTCATGCAAACACGTTTGTTCACAGGTAAGCAGTGAGGGGAGTTTAAAAATAGCGCAGCCTCCCTCACAAGACAGAAATAGCCGAGAGTTCACACTGCTAGAAGACATGATCTCACAGTGTCTCGACCAGCTTGCGAGGCTCAGTGCACACTCAACATACTCTTTTCACCTCTCCTCTACTATTTCCATCCATCCATCCATCGTCAACCACTTATCCTGTGTACCAGGGTCATGGGGTGCTGGAGCCAAACCCAGCTGACATCGGGCGAAAAGCGGGGTACACCCTGGACAGGTCGCCAGTCCACGCAGGGCCACACATAGACAAACAACCACTCACGCTCACACCTAAGGACAATTTAGGGTCACCAATTAACCTAGTCCGCATGTCTTTGGATGGTGGGAGGAAGCCAGAGCACCCTGAGAGAATCTCTCTCTCTCTCTCTCTCTCTCTCTCTCTCTCTCTCTCTCTCTCTCTCTCTCTCTCTCTCTCTCTATATATATATATATATATATATATATATATATATATATATGCTTTTCCTACTGAAAATGTAAATCATTAAAAACAGGTGATATATATATATATATATATATATATATATATATATATGTGCTGCGTTAATGTGAGACTCTAGTCGGGCGATGAAAAAAATATCGCCGTTAATCTATTCTCAAAGTTGGGTTGGGAGCTGGGTCTATAGGGGAGAGCCCGGACGATTGAAACGCGGGACGAATGAAACACAGCGATTTTCACAGAACAGGGAAAATCAGGTGGATACGTCACACTTTCACAGAGTTATATGAAAGAAGCGGTTTTCAATCACAGAAAGTAAATTCACTCAAGCAATCTTTTTTTTTTGAATGACGAGGTGTGTTTATTGTTCCATGTGCCATGGTCGTGATCACATAAAAGATTAGTTAGTACTTTAACACATCCTGAAGTTTTAAATGTCAAAGTTTTACAGTTTAGAAGCTAGTGAAGTTTAAACGTCAAGAGTCACTGTCGGGATGATTGAAACAGGTGTTTCATTCTTCCCGAAACGCAGCCATTCTACCTTATTTAGATACGGCGGGAGGTCCATAGGTTGCAGGCTGGACCACCAGGATGCTCACAGCCAAATAACAGGATCTTCACAGTAGACCAGGAAAACAGGCTGCAGATGTAGGCCTACTACGCAAGCTATGATGACTTTCACCTTCATATTTTAGCGCAGATGTATACCTAGCCGAATTGCACTGTAGGGGGCGAGAACGAGTCTTCGAACCTGCGTGTATGCCTACTGTGAAATTACCACATCAAACGTGCCGTGCTACATGGATGCAGCTATGAAGCCGCCGGGTTTGCTTCAAGGAAAATTTATTTTTAAGAAGCTTCCCAATGGTTTTCTCAAGCAGTTTGTGATGCATTTTGGAAACAGGAGATGAGCCCCTGGTCTAATGCGCCACCTGGCTTAATAAACCTGTTCTCAAAGACTTCCTTTTAGTCATTATTTGGGTAGCACACATATTCTGAATGCCTTCGGCAGAATTCAAATGAGCCATTTTAATCTAGATTAATCTAGATTAATTCCAAGATTACAGTGAGATTAATCTAGATTAAAAAAATGAATCTATGCCCACCACTAATATATATATATACATACATACATACATACATACATATATATAGGTGACATATATATATATATATATATACATATATATATGTCACCTGTTTTAATGATTTACATTTAGTAAGAACCAGTGGGCTTGAGTGTCACATAAAAGGTAGGAAGGTTAGTAAGTGATGAGAGACTAAAACATAGTTTGTTTTGGTTATCATGGGATTTGTTGACATAAAAAATATCAAATGAATAATAATGCCAGCGTTATCCCTTAAAGGAACCCAATAAGTGTATTTTCCACTAGCTCTTCTCCTTATCTGCATATCCCATGTACAACGTTCATTGATCTCACAGTGTCACCGACGTTCCAGAAGGAACTTACTCTGTGGAGTTAGAGCGAGCACGGAACTTCTTCCCTTTCAGTTTCTTACGATTACCGCTCAGATTTCCTGGAGAGAAGCAGAAAATAAACACACTTTACATACAAATATATACAATAACATGCAAAACATATCCCGAGGGGCGATGTTGAAGCTCTGACAAAGGCTTTATGTCATGTTTTATCCCCATTAGTTGTAGATAAAATTCACCATAATGATCGAGACATGAGCCGATTTCTTTCCTTTTTCTTACCACAGGTATGCTGCCTTTTTTCTGTAGTACTTTATCTTTTTGAGCAAGTGAAATTCAAGAGCATAACTGCTTCCTCTTATGTCTGAGTGGGGATTTGCATGTTACCTTGCCATGAGTTGCTCCTTGGTCGCCCATTTTCACAGATGTCAGAGATGTGTTTGGCATCTGGGATTCTCTCACTCCATGAGTGGGAAAGGCCATTAGATCTAACACACACACACACACACACGGCATGGGCAGAATTTAGTCAGTACAACGTCATCCTTCCAAGCTGCTACAAATCACTAATTGGATGGAGGATGACATAACTGATGGCGAATATGAAGACACCGTTGCAGCAGATGGCAACGTGATGAGCTGTGAAACAATATCATGACAGCTGAGTGCGACATGATATGAGAAATGTAGCACTGAGGTATTTTCTACTCAATTAGAGCTAAAAGGTTTCGTAATTTTGAACATTTTTGCTCAAGTCCAAAAAGTTCACAGAAAGAAACATAATGCAAGCCATGATAGTAACAAAGCATGATATGAACCCGCAAGTGATTTAGAGAATGCAACACACACACACACACAATTTTCCAGCAAAGTGATGATGTGATGGCACACCTGAAGCCAAACAGTGAGATGTTCTGAGTAATGGATGGGATGGAGGCAGTGAAGGACAAGGTGCAAATCTGCAGGTGCGACAGGCAGGCTGACCTCTTCTTGGAGCTGCAGCCAGAGTTTGTGCTCACACCCGGAGGCATGTCGCTGTAAAATGAATCTGCATCCCCAGGCTTTGTTACATAGTCACCTGGGGGCATTTGCCTGGAAATACAGAAGAAGGCTTTTAGATGGGAAATAACAGTAATTACAGGGAACAAACTCACTGTAAGATCTTCTCACAAAGTTGTTTATCACTAATTTATGATGTTCAACAAATTATTTAATTCATACTTTGAGAATGTGCTATATTTTAATTTGCTGAAGCCTTTTCAACCTAGTGTGTATGTGCACCTCATTGATTGCTACACATTTTACAGGAAGACTTTCCACAACTGGCCAAAAACAGTTGTTCAGTTGATGTTCGCAGTGTGACTACAGTTGAACAGCAGTGCCATTTAAGTACAAATTTGAGGTACTTTATTCAACTTTATTACTTCTGCTCCACTACATTTCAGAGGGAAATATTGTACATTTTACTCCACTGCATTTATATAACAGTTTTAGTTACCAGTTACCTTTCAGTTTAAGATTTTGTGTATGAAACATACAGTAGGATCAGCCTCTAAAATATGATGACTAAACTCCCCACAGTATACAAAATGGTTCCGACTAGCTCCACTTTCAACCAACTGCAACAGTAAAATGCTGCTTACACATTAACACATCTGTAATAATAATCCAATAATACAAGTGTACAATAGTACACTCTGAATGGGATCATTTTGCATAATGCATACTTTAAGTACATTGTGATTTAATACTTAACACTTATACTTAACTACTTAAATAAAATTTAAATTAAAGTAAGTAAAGAAGTAGTAAAGTAGTATTGAGTAAAGGATTTCAGCCTTTTTACAGAAACACAAGGCCATTTTTTCCCACAGATGATTTGTAATTAGTTTTTTTTTTTTGATAATTTAAGAGAAAGAGGTCTGTTGCAATCACATACTTACCACTGTCTCGAAAAAATTAATAAAACATTAATTAAAGAACACTAACTCCCAAAACATGCTCAAGCACACCATAGCTCTGTCATGTAAAATCAGCTGAAATGCAACACATTTAAAATAAAGATGAAGTGAGCAAACCGGCAGAATCTTCGGTGAACCTCAGACTCATTGTAGCGTCTCTGTTTGTAGCTCCTGTGAAGAGAAGTACGAGTGTCCTCAGTCCAACAATAATATACCTTTTGTTCAAATGTATAGCATTACATAAAGCAGTGCCTCCCAGCCTTGTTGACTTCTTGCGCAACCTATTCATTGGTTACGAATGTTTACTGTGACCATTTACACAAATGGCAGATTTTGTTTCTTGCTTTATTTGAATTACTTTCAGAAGCCCTTAAGGCCTAAAATTATTGCTTAATTCAAGTATAAAAAAGACAAGAGGAAAAAATAAACAACTGTCTGCAGCAGAAATATGCTTTGTTCTTTCCAATCCTGTTAATCACTTCACAAGTCATGACCCCTCTGATCTAAAACATCACGCATGCAGGCTACAAGGACACTCACTTGTAACACAAGGCTGTAACAGCCAGTATGAGGGCGAGGAAGAGGATGGAGCCTACGATGGCCCCGACGATGATGTTGGTAGTGGTGATACCTGAGACAGAGGAAGAGAGGAGATTGGGGAGCCGAAATGTGTGTTACTTGAATGTGTGTCTCTTGTTTCCTGAATCATGTGGACACAATGGGATACACAAACCACAAGACACTGCAGCAGAACACATAAACACAGTACATTTAGCAGGAAAAGTGTAAAAGGAGAACAGGAGAGAACTGAACTGAGAACAACCAAACTGCTGTCACCCTTCAGTACTACTCTGAGGGAAACGTACATGTGCAGTAGGTTCCCATTCAGGATAACCTTTAAAAGTGCTTTTTTTAACTCAATAATGATCAGAATTAACCGACCAAGGTGAGCTGAAGTAGGGGTAAGAGAGGAAGAGGACCACGAAATGACACCAAAGACATGACAAATACAATGAAAAGGAACTCAAATCTGACCTCAAGTCACTCCGTCAAAGACATCAGCCTGTCGACAAAGAATGAGTGTGAAAATAATGACAAACAAAAAGAATGACATGCATGGCTCAGTGAATACAAATGCAGCTGGTTTTAATGAGCAGACATGAACCGAAAATAAAGAGATATGTAACAGACAATCAACAAAAAAGCAAATAAAAAGCTTTGAATATTCAGCATAACAACATTTGTGAAAGGGATTAGTGAAGCGGTGGGATTTTAAAAGAATAACTGAAAGAGATGAAGTGGAAAATGCTGAGAAGAAGGTGCAGAAAACGTGAGTTGAAGAGAGGTATGGATAGAGGCAATAAATAGTGAGATCGCAAACATCGCTACCTGAAACTGGGACAGTGGGTCCCACCACAAGATAACTGAGAGGAGACGTGGAGTTACAATCCTCTCCTGCCCAGCCCAGGTAACACACACACTTCAGCTCACTACTGCACACCTAGAATGAAACAAACAGAACAGTTGAAAAACACATTATTTTGTTACACAACTGTGAGGATATCTTCTACATGCCCTAAATGTAAATGTAAATGTAAATGGTTTTAATAGGACAAATAATATGCTGATACTCAAAAATTATCAAAAATAAAAACACATTATTGCAGCAATTCACTTGTTACTCAAATATTGGAGTGACATACTTCCTACTACTTTATTAAATATATTACTGAATTATTGAAATGATTTCCAAGCAATTATATCTGAAGTTTAAAGAGTGGCCCAAGATAGTTTACCTTTTGTTATTAAATGTTGTTTGACAGAATATTCACCAAAGCTGAATGGCTTGAATGGTTGTACACTTTCATGTTAATGTGTGTGTGTGTGTGTGTGTGTGTGTGTGTGTGTGTGTGTGTGTGTGTGTGTGTGTGTTCACTGCACATGTCTGTACCCCGTGTCCAGAGCAGACTGTTTTGTCGGTGGTCCCGGGGCAGGTGCTGAAGTTGAACTGTTGGACGGGGAGACATTTGTGATTGAAACAGATGCTGTCTGTACCGCAGGCCGTCCCATCCTCGACGTATCCCAGGTCAGTGTCACCATCGATCAGCACATGAGCACCACTGAACAACAAACACGCACGAGTCACTTAAACTGCACTTAACACGAGAAAGCCCGAGTTAAATTCAAAGAAATGTTGGAACAAAAGGTCTTTTTGTCATGTAATATATGTGTTTTCATAGGAAATTGGACACATGTTGAAGAGTTAGTTAGTTAGTTATCATTAATTACTGCCTTCGCTCAGCTGTGCACAGTATTTCTAACTGCTGGAAACAGAACCAGGGAAAAAAGCTAGTCCAAACATAAAAAACATATCACCAACAGTCTTTTTTTCATGCCTTTTTAGGGCACTGAGTATTTCAGGAGGTGTTTTTCCTCAATGATGTGTACCTGCAGTCAAGAGAAGCACTGTGCCGCGCTACTGAGAAAGAGGTCAGCCCGCCCTGCAGCTCTCCCAATCGCGGGGCAGGTGAGATGTTGGAGCACAGCAGGTATCCACAATGAACATCCCTGAAAATACAAAGATGATCCCGATGATCACAGAGGGTGAAATAAAATGATAGCAGAACTGCGAAGGGTTGAGTCAAAGAAAGGACCGGCTCACTGTTTGTTACACTGGATCCAGGTGTCCTTGTCCTTCCCACAGTTGCCTTTCTCTGTCCCTTCAATGTTTAATTTCTCGTAACAGAACTTGTCGGCCGCTGTCGCCTCTGGAGGGAGACGCAATGAAACACGATGACAATTAACATTTACAGCTTACCAAATGTGTTTAAGCCCTGGAAGGTGTGTTATTAAAGAGATCTGAGATTTGTACTTGCACTTAGGAATGTTACACTTACTCTCTCCCCAAATGTACTTGCACTGTCTGTCTTTGGTTTTGCACCTTCCATTGAAGCAGCGACCCTGCAGAGAGAAATACAGTGTCAAAAAACATCACATGTGCAGACGTAAAGGCTTTTCTTTCTTAAATGTAAAATACATAGAGATCCATTAACCAACTGTCAAACATCTCACCTGGTCCTTTTCACATGTGTAGCCATCCATCTTGTGCACATTTGGTGGACACTGCGAAAGACAAAGAAAACATCAGACATACTGTGATTTACTGCATGAGCCGGACTGTAGCTCCAGTTGTAGAAAACCGTGTCATGCTCACCTGGCTGGAGTTGCCTGTGCAGTTTTCTGGGATGTCACAGTCATTCACAGCATCTCTGCACACAACTCCCATGAACTCCATCTGCAGGAGCATGCAATACAGATCAAACAGACTCTGGGTGTTTGTAAGTAGGGTTTTGTGTCAGAGGAATCAATGGTCTGCACAGTTGGTGTCCCGTAGGCACCCTTTCTCTTTCCTCTTGACATCCCAAACTACCATTAGTCCATCTATGACAAGTCTGCGCATTCACAACTCCATCCATCCATCCATCCATCCATCCATCGTCAACCGCTAACCTGCAAACAGAGTCGCGGGGGCTGGAGCTAATCCCAGTTTACATCAGGCAAAAGGTGGGGTACACCCTGGACAGGTAGTCAGTCCATCGCAGGGCCATTCACAACTCAACAACATTTATTTTGACATATGTCACAGTGTTAAAAGGTTATCTATCTAGTAGTCAGGGGGAAGGAAAGATCAAAGAGAGTATGTTCAGGGATAAAGTAGTTGGAACTTATTGTCACCAAACCAGAGAAGTGTACAATTAAAGTCAATCCAAGTGGAAATGGCCATGAGAATTCCTTCAGCTTGTTGCCATGACTACTTAGTACCTCTATTTTACGCAACAGGACACCCCAGCAGAGGACAAAAGGTGTAACTGTGGCCTGCTGTGTACCTGGCAGTTGTTGCAGCAGAGTCCATTACTACACTTGGAGCCCTGGGTCAGGGTGCACTTGTTACAGCAGGCCTCCCCCTCTCTGGCACATTCCTAAAAGACAAAGAGGAAGTGCTCTAAGTCGTCTTCTTTTGATTTGATAATAAGTATTCTATGTCTGTATGTAACACGTTATCTCATCAGACAGTACAAACCATTTAAAAAAAGGTCTTTCTGGACAAATTAAATGATCATGAAATAACTGTTAATCACTGTGTATGCAGCGCCTTGATTTCTCCAGTGAAATTACTTAATTACTATAAATTACCTCTTATTAGACAAAGTCTGATCGAGCAGGCAGTTCTGTTGTTGGGTAATTAGCCTGTCACTTTGACCTTGGATGATTATCAAGTTAAACCTTAAGGATAGTACATTACTTCCCTATTAGCATCCATCCAGTCTCATGTACAGCACTGTAACTTACCCCTGGGCTGCCACAGTCACACTCCTCTCCTGGCTCCACAAAGCCATTTCCACATACCGGAGGGTCCAACAGCTGAGGGGAAAAAGGGCAGAATAAACATTCAAACGACTAAGAAAGACACTTGTACATATACTGTATATGTATATATTTGTGTGAGTTTGATGTACCTTCAGAGGTTTGTTGAACAGACAGGCTCCTCCGCCGCTGTGTAGGAAGTTATGGTACTCCTCCACGTTGCAGTCGGAGAACCTCTTGGGCAGGTAGAAACTGTTCAACACAACCGCAGCATATTATGCCATTACACACAGCATCCTCAGATAAAAACACAATTAAAAGCACATTACAGGAAAGAAACACTTAAAGACTGGTGAACTGGACAAAATATAGTTTTAAATGTCTTTACCCACACAAACTGACTTTTCATACTTCAAATACATTTAATTTCAGTGCTACAGACACTGCCGCAGTAGTTTTGTCATATTTAAAGTTAAAGTTTTTTTTTACATACCATGGATATTTCTGGTTGTATCACAGGTTTACCATACTCACAGTTCAGAGGAGATCCTTACTATAATGTGGAGGTAGATATACGGTAATGCTTAAATTGTGAGGATCATATGGAAATGGATTCTAAGATGAATTTATTAAATTGTCCTGGATATGGACTTGAAAATTGTGGATGAATCACTTTCAACCAGTTATTGCATTATCATGTGACAATGTGTCACTAAAATTATCAATATTAAACACATTTTCAGGAGATTCTCAGAACAGAAATCAAGCTCTATGTTTATGAAGGCATCGTAACCTCTTAATCGCTCCATGTGATTGCTTTACTTCGCTTCAAGATGATACATTCACCTGGAGCCCAATCTACATCTGAAGTATAAATCTATTGCAATCAAATGTCCTGTGTTCATTCTGATGCTCTTCACAACATCAACCCAAACCTGATCAGCACTTAAATGTTATTATCTTCTGCTGCACCATCAGGCTGATTATGCTGCTGCCACATGTTTAACTAAAGTGCCTCTGGTAGTGTGGCTTGTCAGGACATGATACAGGAGATAATGCAATAACAGACAGACTCGGTGAAAGCCAGGAGAGAGCCAGGGGCTGTGAGAGGTCGTTGTTATTTGATATGAGATGTGACTAAATGAAGCCACCTACAGTGATAATGGGAGTATATGGAGCCGGGAATGACGCTTGGATGATGGATGAAGTACACTACAATATTTCAGGTAGATTTCCTAAACTTATCAGGTTTAAAGATGTCCCAACTATCCCGTGGGATTTGCATCTTTGATTGCTAAATTTGTGCCAGATCTCATCAAAATCTTGTAGTGTTTATCCCCTTTTAAACAGTAATAACGGGTGAAAAAAAGAAGAAACGTGCTTGAATGATTTCCTAGTCGCCAGAAGAAGTACAATTGTTAGCATGTGGAATAATATTATCATTCAGCCACGACAAAGACTTTTCATATCACAGCACAAGACCCTGCGATCCAACAGAGGTAGAAGAAGAATTCAAATCTTTCACGTGAGTAAAAGTAGCTATTCTACAGAGCAAAAATACTAAACGTCCTGCATTCAAAATCTGATTTAAGTAAAAGCACAAAGGTTTTAGCATCAAAATATATTTTAAGTACCAAAGATAAAAAGTACTCATTATGCAGAACAGCTTATTTCAGAATAATGTGTACATTATTATAATAGTGGATTATAATTATTGATGCATTAATGTGTTTATCACTGGTAAAGGTGGGGCTAATTTTTATTACTGCCAGGTAGCCTAACCCATAACAATATATCATAATATATTGGTTGAATTATATATTTTTTGTCACAATCTGTCAAGTAACTACCAACTAAAGCTGTTAAATAAATGTAGTGCAGTAAAAAGTACAATATTTACAGATGTAATGGAGTGGAACTATTAATTAGCATAAAATGGAAATACTCAAGCAAACGTTACAGTACCACCACTGGAATAAAAGTATTCCAAAAGAATAAATACTACTGTAGCCTATTAATTGCCTGTAGTGTGTACATTTATTTAATAAAATATGTGAAACACCATGTAATGTATCCAGAAAAAAGTAACGTCTTCAATCATTTCTTTCTTCATTCATTCACAGTCAGCCTATCACCCCCTAGTGGTGATTAGGAGGCATGGCAGTGTCTGGACCCCAATCATTCATTTGCCTCTGCATCATTAGGGATGGGTATCGCTATTCGATACCTTTATGATATCGACCGAAACAGCCCAGCATCGAGTAGAATCGAAACGTCTCCAGTCAAACCAGTACTTTTTTTGTAACCAGATCGCGGCAAAAAATGACTATTTGTATGGTTTTGCTTGCAGCCACCACAACGACTATGTGCCTGCACCATAAACTGTATAAAAAAAGGCTCCCGCTGGAGCTGCGGCTGCTTCAGGTGTAGTTGCGACTCACCAATAAAGGGAAAAAGCACTTGCAGAGATCTTTCAATTAAGTTTATTGATAGAAAGTTAACAAAATAATTTTCCGTCGTTTACTTTCAACACAGGTATAAAAAAATTACCTTAAATTTGTTTCCCACAACTTTTTTGGTAACCAAACTATTTCCCTCCTCCTCTCTCATTCAAATGAGATGAGGATGACCTAACTAGGATGAGGAGCGATCTGATACAGTTTCCCAATACTTTTATGTAACAGTTATTTGAAACAAAAAATATAAAATAGATAACCATGCTTGTCATAACAACAATAAAAATAATAATAGGCTACCAATCAACTACTATGGCTTCAACAGGTGGCATTTTATGCAAGGTATCGATTCTTCATTCAATACTCTGTTGATATCGGTATCACTTTAAGGGTACTGGTTTTGGTACTGGAATCGTAAACTTTGAATGATACCAAACCCTATGCATCACTGCAGGATTGCACAGGGTGACTAACGTCTGTATGTCCTTGTTACAGTATATTTCCGACTATTTGAATTTATTTGATCAGAAATATTCAATTTAAAATATTCTAATTAAGAGAAGACAAAAGAAAGGAAATATATTATATATTATAACACATATAAAACAATTCTAAATCCTGACTCCATTGAAATGCATGTTCCAACAATGAACTGTGCATTTATTTTCTTTAAGGACTGTCCCATCTGGTAGCTCAATACGAGGTTTAGTTAGGATTTAAGATGCTCACAATAAGTTGTCACACACACTATATAGGAATAAACACATACATGAAAAGACAAATCGACTCACACACACACACACACACACAGTCACACAGATACACACATAGTAGTTAAATCCTGTGAAAAGTGCGAAAAGAGTTAGTAGTAGTGGTCAGGTTAGGTTGATCAGACATGCGGGTGCTGGGGGATAAAAAAGGAAACGTCCGTCAATGGACATGACTGAGGTTTGCTCATTGAATACAAGCGTCTGAAATACCATTGACTTTATTTTAGGGAGTACAGATCTGGGCCAGGTCCATTCACAGGTGACAGGCTCATTAGAGCGCAGAGTCCCCTGTCCTCTGTCATGTGAGCACATGACATTAAAACTGGTTTATTATGGAAAGCCAATAGAGCAGAATCTGGACAGAGAGTGTTAGAGGGGGAGTGTATTGTTGTTACAGGGAAATGAGTTAGACAAATATTGGCCTAAGATGAGAATGACATTGCAGACTGTATCAATCGGTTAGACATGGACAAAAAGAACTGATGAAAAGTCCTGACTTTCAAAGGGCAGGAGGAAGAAGTGGCCTATCAATAATTAGAATAATCAAATTAATGACATTTTCTTGGGTGATCAACCATTGACAACGGCCAATAACTGAAGAATACACATAAAGTGCATGTGAAACTGTACAAAATGATTATGAAAAATACAGCCAGTGTATGATAAAGGGACATCCAACTGTATTTGTTCATATCATTTGAATAAAAGCTGGGGGCCACAGCGGCTGTAGTGCTGTTGGATGAAATGGGAAAGGTTGTGATGACTGACAACCCCTCCAAGGCAGCCAGTTGGTTCAAAACAGCACAGGCAACGTTCTAGCCAAGCTTCTGCTCACCTGCTGTCCCATTCGGGATAGAGGGGGAACGCGAGAAGTATTTAAGAAGAGGGGTATACACACATACACACATCGCAGACACAACACACAGTCACATCCGGATGATGGCACAACACTAAGCTTGTACAGTCAAGCTACAAATGTAAACAAACGCATTTTAAGACAAACAAGTCATGATTTCTGCATGAAGCAAAATACAGAAAATATACACAGACTGATTTATCACCTCTTTTCTAATCTTAGCAAGCAGTAGATTATATAACACATTACTGCTGTGGGAAGCCCAGTGAAGTTATATAAATAATGGAATGGAAAATAAACCTAGGTTGACACCTAGTGGTCAATTGTCAAACTACAATAACACTCCAGTGGATGGAAATATTAATTTCAGCATATCAACACTGACACACTGTGTGTGTGTGTGTGTGTGTGTGTGTGTGTCCTGGTTAATTGTGATCTGCCTAGAAATTAGCTTTAGCTATAAGGTAACTCTGGTACAATACATCAAATGGTAACTTTTATGTTTAATATTGTACATCTTTCCTTACAAATAAAATAAACCTGCTGCAAGCTGCTTCAAGATACATAGGAAAATATATTCTAGTCGGTCTCTGTTGTGGTGTTAAGTCTACGATGGAGGAAATGTACCGTAAAAGTAACTTACCCAACATCATCCATGATACAGCCCGACCACCGATCGTCACACTTGCACTCGCCTGGTGGGGAAAAAAACACAATGTGCATGTTCACATCGTCTAAAGAGGAGGCTTTAAAAATGACTGTGTGCTAGAAAAGTAAGAAATAAAGTGTCATTAAGGTTTAACTGCATACCATTGAGGATCCTCTTCTTGTCAGAAAAGATGCCAATGTTCTGTCCAAGAGACTGAGCGAGCGTTATGGCCATCTCATCTGTTTTCCCGTACTGATGAAGAGACAAAAAGACAGACCGTCAGTTTGGGGAAAATAAATGGCATTACATCCCCCTCAAAGTTGGATTAATTCATTTAATGAAATAAACTAAACAGCTATAAAAACTGGAATTACAGTATACAACAGGAATAAATGCACAGAATTGCGCCATTTAATAAGAGAAATATTTTTATTTGGAAATCTGTAAACATTTATTTGTGTTTAAAGACTCACCTCATTGACTCCCCCTCCCTTAGTCAGGGAGCAAACCCCTCCCATATAGGAAGCTCCTCCCCAGCTGCTGTGAAAACGATTTCCTCTGATAAGAAAAGAAAGTTATGTTTAAAAAAAAAAGATGCTGGAGCGCCGAGAACACAAGAAAATCCTTTGAAATATTCCAACTCACGAGAAGAGGTGAACAGAGTCGCATTTCTCCTTGATGAAGTCTTTCCGATACTTCATGAACTCCCTCAGCGTCACCATGGGGTCGTCGTCGATGTTGAACTTGTTGTCAGCTGACCACGTTTCCATGGCTACTAGCACAATCCGGGTATTAAGTTGTTCCTTGAAAATCTGTGGAATTAAAAGTAAATCAGTTAAAGTTATCCTCTGAATGTCATCAAGCTTCAGTGTCCTGATCAATATTAAAACTGACTGGCAGGCCTCATATTCACACAACATCTTCCAGCTGTTCGTCAAACAGTCAGTGTGATCAATATCATCCTGCCACAGGCAGGCTAGACGGAGTCAACAAGGGTAACAGTCTGAAGGACAAAGAGGGAGCAAACTGGATGGCAAATAATAATGTATGCTTTCATAAGATGGAAATCTATTGGTCTAGCGGGCCAGACAAACACCAGAGAAGAGGACAAGCACAAAGCCTCTTTGTTTAAGCTGAATACCAATAGTCTAAAAGCTGACAGAGCAGAGAGGAAGTGGTCAGGGATATGTGCACGGTTTAATCCCAATCCAGCCCCTACAACCTCACCCTATCTGCTCCACCTCTGTTGCACATTAAGAGTCATTCTAAAATCATATTAGTCTTATTACTTTTGTCTGTATATTTATGTGTACTGTTACTTGTAGGGAATTGTTGTAATATTTAACATATCTGATGCCACTGTGAATGTGGCCTCAGTGCTGAGGGAGCATGGCGTACACTGGGGGTAAAAAGGCAACTATACTCGCACATGGAAATCAATGTGTACTTCCCAAATAGAGTCTGCTTCATATGATCCTCTACAAGGGCACGACAAAAAGCGTGACCTTTCCACAGCTTCGCCAGCCTATCGGTTTACAGACGTGACCCTGTAGCCGGTCATATTTCAGTAGCACAGCACACAGATGTGGCTACAAAAAATAAAACATTGAAATCTCTCCCTCAGTACTGTTGGGATGCCACTGCTGATCAGTCCCCTGAAACCTGAAAACTCAAAACTGGCTGGTTAATGGCCCCTTGCAGCATATTATGAGCCAGGAGAGGTTTTGACTGTAGAGAGTGAGGTTGTTTAAATGAGGAATCAGTGCAATGTGCGCTCAGCTCCAATACCTGGGAGTGCTTGTGGCAAGCTTTCCAAGAAGAGGATCAATACAATTCTTACCATGTCAGCCATATTGACCACTGACTTAGCATAGTTATTCGTGTGCCCAACGGAAAGCCGATGCTTCTTATACTGAGGAGAAATACAGGGAGAGAGACACACAGAGGGATGGGGAAGAAAACAAATAAATATGGGATTTACAATCTGGAACAAATTAATTTTAAGCATATAAAAGGAGTCAGTATCTGCACATCTGAGTCCAAGTGGATTTAAGTCAGGCCCATTTGGGTCAAAACTGTCTGTTTTATGCACAGTAAAGGTCGTATTTGGAGTGCCTCAAGAGTGCAAGCACGTACTTCATTTAGACAAACTAACATATTGTTATTTTTTGGTTTTGGTCTTTTCACAAGAAACACAATGAAAAACAATGAACAACGCCAGTCTTATACTTTAAATGAAGATATGTGTAATATAATTGATTGATCTGTCTGAGTGTCCTGCACCCAAATGGGACCAGTCCAAACGGCATTACAAGACGCTAGACAGCAACAACAATATATGTGTGTGTGTGTGTGTGTGTGTGTGTGTGTGTGTGTGTGTGTGTGTGTGTGTGTGTGTGTGTGTGTGTGTGTCCTGGTTAATTGTGATCTGCCTGTGTATATTTATATTTACATAACAAAAATGTGCTATTATTAGAGATAAAGTTCTATAAAACAAAACTTTCCTCTTAAAAGAGCCAGGACTGTCAGGACTGATTATTTAATGAATTAATAGTGATGCCTGGGCAGAAGACTTCAGAGTAATACAAGAGGGTTACTATTTTATAATTTTACAGTATACAGGCTACTATGATTGTACATCCATACCATTTCTGTGTAGTTAAAAGCTTACCATTAGATGGTCATTAATCACCATCAACTCAATGTATTTGGTCTCATCTTCTACACTTCGTGACACGTGTGAAGCCTGAGAAGAAACAACACAGTTTTATCATGAAAACAGACAGACGGATAGATACCTTTCAATCAGTTTTCAATTTTCCTTTACCGGGACCTTTTAACATCAAGGACAATTTCAGAACTGCACACACAGTAAACACAAAGATCTCATGCGTCACCAAGAAAAGAAAGGAAAAGAAAAGAAACGACAAATCAATATAGATGAACTTTGCAACGCTAAATCAAGTTTTTTCTGTTTTCCAAATTCCAAATAAAGATGAGAAGCAGCCGCAGACATCTGACTGTGTCTGTGGAAAGACGAGGCTGGAAGCTGCCTCTGCTCACAAGGTGAATATTTCATGTTAAAGAAGAAGAAGAGAGAGGGGTGGTGAGCGGTTACGTGGGAGGAGAGCGAGGAAACAGTGCTCTCTCTTAAGCTTTGTGAATTAACATAAAACAGAAAATAGAAAAAACAGGCAGAAAATAGCAGGTTTGGACAAACAGCAGCCATAGCGTAATCATCTCTTAACCTTGGACTCACAGAAACAAACATACAAACAGGAGTCCATCAGCATTCCTCTGCTAATGATGATGATTTTCCAACAAATATGCTTGCAGAGGAAATATACCTGTCTCTTTTTTCTCCTGTGAACAACTTTTGAGCCTGGAAATGGAGGGCTGGGAAAAGGCGGCTCTGGAAGATCACCTAGGAAACAGAAACATTTATTGATATCAGTATTCAACATCCACGATCCAAAACAACCAGAAACAGCTTTAATTATTAACATAAATAAGTAAACATTTAGTTAACTACTTTTTATAAATATTAATCAGTACAATAAATTCCTTGTCATGCCTCCAGTCATTATCTTACCATTGAGGAGATCATTTAATCCATCTTGCCCTGCAGATTTATAGATCATGTGAATGCGGACATCTCCCTGAAAGAAACAAAAAGAGGAATTCAATCACAAATCACAGCCAAGTGTCTGATATGCAGATATGATTCAAGCAGCTCACCTGAGGTCAAGTGTCTGGAAATTGTACTTTAGTTTGATCAGTGACCAAATTAAGAAAAATCCAGATATTATCTCATCTGTATTGACATCTGTCAAACTCAGAGCCAAGTAGATGACAAGGAGCATCTGATAAAGTAATTGGAGAGAAACAGGGATAGTGATATCATATGGTTTCTATGTAAATGAACCTTGCGCATTGCGCATAAACTGTATTAAAGGATGGCCCTACAATGGAAATAATTTCAGGAAAACACGATTTAACGTTGTTGAACATGGATATCGTCAACGCATGCGTGAATCACCAGCGAGACAACACTGAGGGCGGAAACAGCGCCTGTGGTTTGAAGCCATATCCTGTTTACTCTCCCATACAACTAACTTACTGTAACGTACTTCAGGCTTTGGTTTGGGTGTGTAACTAACGGAGGACCAGGCGGAAATGCCACCCCCTTTTATGTGAACACGATTGAACTGCAGGAAATATAAGGTATTGTACTCCATGTTTAATGTCGTTGCCGTGTTTTAGCCCCACATTGAGGAATTCGGGACTCAACAGGTGCCTGTAATGCTAACTTTTTAGCCATCCGCTTGCTAACTAGCTCATGCAATAGTAAACGCTCCGTCCATTACTACCACTCAGCTCTGGTTATTTTTTTCATATTTCGGGGATAGATTTGAACAAACACACTTGTTGATATATGTCATCGGGCTAAACGAGCTAACGTTAGCTTACTGTTATTGTAAGTTAGCTAACCTTAGCTAGCTGGTGAAACTTCTCAGACAGTTAGCTTAGCTGGCAAGGCTAACGTCAGCCTTTAGCTGGCCAGCGGAGAATATAATAACTTTATAGCTGTACAAATAGCTGTTATTACTCGGTTATAGTGTAAAGGTAATCCCAAAATTGGGTTTGAGTTTAGTATCCAGTGTCTGTATAATTACATTGCTGTGGTCTTTGTGTAGGACAGCTGTATGGAATGATGCAGTCATCATTGACTTCTGCTGGTGTATTTTAGTCACGTATTACCGCGATGTAAACATTGACTGCAACTAAATACAAGAAATGAAACGGAATAAAATATTGAACAAAATAAATGTGAATGAGAGGTGATAAACAAATGAAACAAATAAGACATAAACAAATAAACCCATAAACAAATAAACCAGGGGCAAGCATTAATAGAAGGCTTTCTAATAGATGTTAATGGGTCATTATACGAAAACGTGCCATTTTACATTTTTAATGTTTGATTTTCAAAGTACTGTTTTCAAAGTCTTTAAGTCCCTTTTAGGATGCAGTAGATCCTTAGCTCTAAGAAAAATGTGCCGTGCCATCTCACACAATATTTTCACATAATCAACGTGTGTTTCGTCAACCCTGTTACCGACATATGAGTTACTGTTTGAAAAGGTTTTAAATCTATATTTAGAACAAATATGACATGCTATGACAGATAAGACACCACTTGTTACAATAAAGTGGGAATATTGACTAGTTTACTTATATCCATGGGTGAATACGTTCTTTTACAATTAATACTGTCACAAAATATTCTGTTTTAAGAAAACGTTATGAAAACTAAGTAACAATATCCCAATTTCTTTGAGTGTATTACTGGTCTCTTCGACTTAACTTGTACCATTAGTTGAATTCACAATTTTTTATTTTCATTTTTCAAATTATATTAGAATATTATACAAGTAACAGGGCTGACACATCGGTAACAGGGTTGACAACAGTTACCGTATTGGTTATACTGCTTGTTTAAGCTACAGTCATGGGTGTAATGGAGTTATAATGGGACATTCTTAAACTTTTAATTTATAATAACTAATTAGTATTACTATAGAGTATATTGGAGACAGATTTGTTGAGAGGTTTTAGAATAAAATATGATACAACCTTATGATGATGATACAGATTTAACTGTATATCAATTGTTTAATTCAAACATATTAAAATTACATTGCAAATAAATGTGAAAAATGAAATAGTTTGGCCTGTGGGTACATAGAAGTATACTTTTCTTAGCCGAGAAGCCAGCAGCACCAATCACCAATTGGTATTAATGACTTTGATCATGGCCCCACAGAGGTAAAATACCTGGGAATCCCCACCAGTATTAGAACTGAAGAAGCCCCTTGGATTCGAGGTAAAACATCTTTAACCAAGTCCATTTGCCATCAATTAATGCTTTTTGGGTAAGAAAAGTATATTTTCATGTACAGTGTGATGAAAATGATATGATGGACTCACTGATATTATAAATTCCAGGACACACACAAAAGCATGTACCTTTGTCAGCCCTGTTACCACTGAAATGGTAACAAGGGTGACGAAAAATGTTATTGCCAGTCACTACTAGCCTTGTGGTAAATGTCATGACACGACATGGTGATCATTCATGAGGCTTAAATGTTATGTTATATGTACATTTAAAATTTCTAACAAATAACTTTTTAACATATGTTTATGTGGTAACAGGGTTGACACACTGAGCTTGTCCCACTCCGTGAGACATTACGTAACTCTAAAATTGAGGTTAAAGGAGGTGACAATTACTTGACTTTTACCATAAACTTCATAAAAAGGCAAGTGATGTCACTTCCTGGAAATTATGCAACTTTTGGAACAATCCATTAGCTTTGAGGGTGTGTTTTTAAAAGTAACAAGGTTGACAACAACATGGGGACCCGACTAAATTGTTGTTTTTTGCAATATTTTACACATATTAAGAATAAAACCCCTTCATGAGTAATGAAACAACACTTGAGGCTTCATATAGGTTTAAGTTTTTGTATGACAGTTTGACTTTTTTGGCCTCAATAGCAAGTAGAAGTAGAAAAATCATACTGAGGGACAGGCCATTTTCAACATTTCCGCAAGATGCTGTGCACAAAAAAGTGATTAAAATCTTTTAAAAACAAAAGAAACAGAAATTGATTTATTCTTATATTATGAGACATATTATGGAAACTAAATTATATAATATTTTATTTGTTTTATGGTTTATTAAGATTTAAAGAGCTTTTTTTTCTCTGATGGACTTTAAATGGCACATTTTCGTATAATGACCGTAATGATTTAAAAGATGTTGCAGACTCACATCCTCAGACAGGGAGCTGTAGAGCTGAAGGGCTCAAACTGTGAAAGCCTGCTCACCATTAGTTTTGAATCAGGATATATTTATAAACAGTCTGAAAAAATTGAGTCTTCACTTTAGTTTGTATGGGACCATCAGTGCATCAAAAGAGCTAATAGTCAGCTCATGATGTGCATCAAACACAATCAGTAAATCTTAAATCAACTTAAAGCTGACTGGTGACCAGTGAAGAGCAGCCAGAACAGGGTTGATCTGATCTTGTCTCTTTGAATTTCTTAAAAGCAGAGCAGCTGCATTTTGGGTTAAGTCCGAATTCACCGAAAGGTAAATATCTAGAACGGATGATGTAAAAACAAATAGGAGTTTCCACACAGCCATGGTCAGTCACTGTTGCCTGCTGTCGCATAAAGAAACCTCCAGCACGAAACCTCTAATTCAATTGCTCATTGTTTAGCTGTACAGTCTATGTAATGCACTGCAGTATAGACACACTTTCCCTGCAAGCTCAGCTCCCAAGTCATTCCCACTTTGTTTGTTAATGAAATGAGAGCATTGTTTCTCAGGGACAGCAGATATTGGGTCAACTTCGCTGTGGTGAATAGAAATACAGGGGGGTTGCCCATAGCTAGGTCAGTCTGTGGCACAGTTAGCTTACTTCAGTGGCAATGGGGCCATTTAGAGAAACTTGTATAACCATGCCTTTTTTTGTGATCAGGAGTTCTGTGTACAGAAAAAAATATTACTATGGTCACATTATGGCCAGATCACTTTCCACTGCCTGACTTCTTGTCTTTATCTGTTCAAACAGGAACTCTCCTCGTGGCCTCTTGTCAGCACCCATCATGTCGTGCCGGGACATCCACGCCACCAACGCTTTTGCCTTCATCATTGCCTTCTTGTGTGTGGGAGGGATTGCTGTGGCAGCGTTAATCCCACAGTGGCGTGTAACGAAACTCGTAACCTTCAATCGCAATGCCAAGAATGTCAGCGTGTATGATGGGCTGTGGGCTAAATGTGTGAAACAGGATGGCTATTCAGGATGTTACTACTATGATTCAGAGGTATTTCATTGACAGATTTTCACTCATCTGCTTTTGCTGCATTTCTTTTATGCCCTAAACCATCCTAACTGAAATCATGTCTTCTCGCGTCTCCAGTGGTATTCTAAAGTGGACCAGCTGGATCTGCGGCTCCTGCAGTTCTGTCTGCCTACAGGCCTGCTGTTTGGCTCTCTAGCCTTGCTGCTGTGCATGGCAGGAATGTGCAAGACCTGCTGCGCCTCAGACAAGCCAGAACCGGACATTAAAACCATCAGTTGCCTGGTCAACACTGCAGGCTGTCACCTTGTGGCTGGGATGTTCTTGTTCCTGGGCGGAGCTATAGCCATCGCACCCTCAGTGTGGTTCCTGTTCCGCACCAAGGAAATGAACATCAGATATGACAACATTTTCTCTGATGGCTTTGCTGTGTATGTATCGATAGGCTGCTCTGGAGGACTAATGCTAGCTTCCCTGCTGATGTTCATGTGGTACTGCATGTGTAAAAAGTTGCCTTCGCCGTTCTGGTTGCCCCTGCCCTCCATGCCTCCCTCTATGTCCACTCAGCCCCTCATTACCAATGGCTATCCTCCATCACCAGTTTATGGTCCTCAGCCCTTCTCACCACAGACTTATCCTCCAACAGTGATCAACACCCAGCCATATGTGCCTTCCCAGGGTTATGCCCAAAGTGTGGTCACCCCTGTACCACCACAGGTGTACATGCCTTCAAGTTCTGCTCCAGATGGGTATGGTTCAGAGGTGGGAGGGCCCCAGGCCTACA